TTCATTCAGTTTTGAGGGGTGACAGGTGGGGCGAGCCCATTCACTTTCGAGGGGTGACAGGTGGGGCGAATCCATTTAGTTTGAGGGTGACAGGTGTGGAGAGTTCATTCAGTTTTGAGAGGTGACAGGTAGGTTGATTCCTTTCAGTCGGGAGGGGTCAAAGGGACGAATCCATTTAATCTGAAGAGTGAAAGGAAGTTTCGACAGATGGTGCAATTCCAGGTGTAGTGAACTTTTATGCTAGGGGGAATTATTATTATTGTATCATTCATTAAAAACAAAACATTTTATTTATTAGTTTATTTTCAAATCCTTGAAAACATACTAAGTAGATAATATTAAGATAATACCAAAATGCCAAACATACAAAAATTTTGAACAAACATGCTAGCAAGCAAAAAACATTCAAACAGAGTCATTATAAATACACATACATTAAGACAGTGAATTGTCAAAAAGATGTGAAAACATTCAATCAAACAAACAGCATTTAAACGATGTTATAGAAATTGCAATATCATTGACTGAACATTTAGGGCTATGTGGATTTTAAATTAGACATACACATATATGAAGGAATAAGAAATACTCTAAATATTTTTTCACAAGAACATTTCAAAACATTGTAACTTCAGGTACCACAGAAAGTCGACAATATGAGAGGATAGTATTTGAAAGTGCCAAAACAGTTATCATCTTTTGATAATTTTACTTCTTTCTGTTGTCATTAAAATCATCATCATATTTTTATTTCATATCAAAATAATAAAAAAACGTATTTATTTGGTTTTATCATAATAAATACATTAATGGGCGTAGGGATCCTGAATGCGATCAAAGGGCTAAGCTGCTTGGAGGTGCATGCTGCGCAGTATCTCGCTGAGTTTCTGAAATGAGAAAAAAAGTTTGAGAAATTTTTGGCTCTCAGTTAACATAGTATCTATGTATGATTTATCAAAGAGGAAGTACTTATGTCTGAAATTACTCAATTGGCTTGCCTGAATTTCATGCTCGGTTAGCACCGAAAAAAAAAAAAAAACGGGATCGAAGTTGCCTTACTACGTTTGGCATAAAAATTAATTAAATGTCATTGCTATAGTATTCCAAGAACGCAGATCTCAGCTAAGGCAACACCATTTTGACGAATTCCAGTGCAGAGTACAGTATGGCCAATTAATTGACTGACAAGATAACATATCGGTTATAGCGCTCATAATTTGGATATAATTGCTATCTAGTCAGGATGTCATCCGAATAAGTCAATGTTTTTTGTCGCTTACCTTCACATAAAAACAATTTAAAGTCTCAAATGGTATTTTACTTGTCCAGGGCCATACAAAAATGTTCAAGCAAAGCACAGTAAACTCAAGCAAAGCTAACTTTCATGCACATTTTTTCGGCGGCCAACTAAGAACCCTGCTGTTCCTTTTGCTTTCAGTCCCAATGTATTGTAACACTTATCAAAAACCAATATATAATAATACTCTGGACATAACAAAAGGTTACACGATGTTACTTCTCTTTCTTCTACATGCACGTCTTTGGTACTTTTAAGCATTTTATTCAATACAAAAAAGAAGTATATGGTATTGGATAACGGAGGTAACTGAAGAAGCAATGATACTTACTGGATATTTATTTCCTTCTACGCCTAATCAAAGCTCGACCTTGAGACTTCCCCAGACATATCCTTGTGTCTTCACTTTACGTCGTCCAACTGCCAAGTGACTAATTTGGAAGACAGCTCGCATTACGTTGAGCAACGTATTGTTATGCAAATAACTACAGATATGGTGAGAGGTTGTTGCTTGGATGGTTGTTGTTCACAAATTTTACGGTCAAAACATGTATGGGCTGATGTCCACTTGTTGTTGAAATAAAATACTTTTTTCAGAAAACGTACGAGGAAGCCCCCCATCATGCACTTAAATATTCCCGCGATTCACGAATCTCACAAAAAGTCAACGCTAGGGGGAGATAGCTATCAATATATCCTCTAGCACAATCAAAGTGTTTTTATGTTGACTTTAAAACGCAAATCTGATAAATCAGCATTCTTCCTATGCAGTGACAAATTCCTGGTCTTAACCAGGTCCATGCTAAAAAAGGAATTGCTTCTTAATGATAATAAGAAAAGTCCGCACATCTTGTGTCATAGCACTGCACAGGCTCTAAAAAATTTTCAAATTCTGGCAGAATGATTTAGACTTAACAAGACAAATCGGTATAGGATGATTTTCAAGTATTAATTGTAAAAAGAACAAACTTATTTGCCAGTTTCAGAAAAAGTTTATTCTAACATGTGAAAAATATGTTTGCATAATTCAGGTTAATGTTATGAATAATTAAATCTTTGTACAAAATCAAAGAATTGTGCTCAACTTAAACTACCATGTAGGCCTACATAAAATTCTCACTTAATGAGAAAACATGAGACTTAAAAAATTTAGATTATTGCAAGTATGTTATTAGAAAGAGAATAACATTTTAGCATGGCAATAAATGTAAATTACTGCAATGCTTTAGTGATTGCTGTTAACAATTTTTTTCGTCATAAGATACGGTAATTGATCAGCCATTAAAAATATGCACAAATCCATTACGTCTACTAGCTCACTCGGTTCCAAATTCCCTTCACCAAATGAATTTTTAAAACATCATCTCAGGAAATTATGTTTTCAATATAGCACAACCAATTCATAACTCCCATTTTTGTCTGTCACCCGTAATTTGTTTGAATCACGATACAAGATTTCGTCGGGAAGTGGGAGAAGTAATCACAGTTCCTCAGTTCGATCCACAAAATACATAACATTCAATTAACAAGCTTGAAACTTTTCTTCGATTCGCCCAATGCATCGTTCGCAGTCTTTTCCTTTCCAACGTCGTCCTTTCGACAGCAAGTGCAGAATTTGTTTTGGCTCCACTGGTAGAAATATTTCCCTTGACCAAACACTTTGGCGCAGCAACTATCGCACGTGAGATACCAGGTTACACACTGGCAGGGCTGGGTCAGAGTGACCTCATTCTTCTCGGCGCAAGGGTCGACGCATTCTGTAAAATACACGTCTATTTGTTAATTGCCAGCCCACGTATAAAAATGGAATCAGACACAGTATGGGAAAAAAACCCAAATACTATAACATACATTTGTATTCGTTAAGTTATAACCATACAAAAAAAATAAAATAAAATAAATAAATAAAATAAAAAAATACAGCATTGCAAAAAATCAAAATTACTGCGAAGTAAATTGCTGAACAAATTTTCTTCGTCGTAAGGCATGGTTATTGATCACCTATTTTATATATATTCAATTTCCTATCTTGTTATTCATTATTCGACTTTTTATTTGTTTTCATTTTGTTATGCTAATCTCACGGTCTTACGTAAAATAATCAAATATAATAAAATAACATACGCCCATTGCTCTGTGGCATATACAAGTATATCACGACAAGGAGCAGGATATGTCTGATCAAGCTCATGTTTCTTCAACAATACCTGAAAATAAAAAGAAGTATCACGATTGAGACGAGATTTTGAGAAAGTTCTTCTCTCTCTATCCCCCCCCCCCCAAAAAAAAAAGGGAAAAAAAACGTGTGAACGCAAATTAGCTGAGAGTCGACTTTTATTCTGCTATGATTTAAATGCCACGCACGGCTACATCCCCTCCTCCAGAAAAAAACTCAATGTAACTGATTTACTGACTGATATAAACTCACTAATCTCGCTAACTGGGTAACCGAAATTAAAAACAAGCCAATAAAGACTCGTAATAAACGATGAAGAAGGTCTACTTTGTCTGTCTTCTGCGATTCTCTCTTTCAAGACTCAATCGATCTGGTTTATAATGACGGTCTCAAGAGGGAATGAGGCCGCGGTGAAAATTTTTCGATCAATACCAGAGTGAGGAAGGACGTCAATTCGGCCTCCTTTCCATAACTAGAATAACATCAATATATACAGCCAGAGAAAAGCATTGCCAAGATGGCGTTGCTCGGATAATATATCCAGACGTCTTTTTCTTCATGATTCAAATTGCGACCAGTTTTTAAGAACGAAGCCGAAAAGCACAAATAATTGAGCATATGAAAATTACCACGAGATGAGAGTCAGAGGTCCACAGGAGACTACGAATTCTGAAATTATCTTAGCAAAATGTCCAGCTAGCACGGCATAAGGATCAAGACTCAAGATGAATAATTCCTGGAAGTCATAAAACCTATCAAGCAGTGGATTTCTATACTTTTGATATCTTGGCAGCGAAAAGCAAGAAGGGCCGAGAGCAGTGACTTTTCAAGCCCATCCATGGACTTCTTTTATTGGTAATGACATTAACTGAAATACAATGGAATATTCATTTGAAAGCAGCAGTCCAGGGCCATGTTTCAGCATTGGGAAATTTTTGTCACAGTTTTCAGATTTGTGCGGTGAATTTGGAACTTACATTGCGCCAACGTATCGCCATGACAGATGCGAAAGGTAGGGGCCTATGAATCTAAACCTGACATATCTTAATGGCAGATACTCGTATGATAAATCCAATTATTTACATGTAGGCCCCTACTTGTCGTTTTTCAAAAAAGAATCGAATTGTATGTTGGTTTATATATAGCTAATGTAATATATGATTCTTTGAATTAGCCACGAACAAAGAATGTATTATGACCCTAATGATAGCTTTATATATTAAGCATTCGACTTTTCGTTTGGCTTCTTTTGTGGTAACGTGAACACCTGTTCATTGTCGATAATTAGAGTTTAGCGCTAAGCATTCAAACATAAACTTTTACCATAAAAAAAACATCGAATTGTTGCTCACTCTTTGACAGAATGTCATAAAATAAACTATAGAATACATGCAAATCAATTAACAAAAGCCAAAACATAGTGAGACACAGTAATTACTTGTGCCTTCATCAACTGTATAAAAACGTCAAAACACTCGCTCCTAGATGACCTAGTATTGCTCTCGTATTGCAAACGTGCGCCCCCTAACAGCGGTGAATGGTCGACCGGAAGTTTACAAATCGCCATCAATTTCCAACTTGGCTATGAGCATGTATACTCCTTCAAAATTTACTAATACATACCAATTTGTTGAAAACGATATGTGATAAAGCTTCAGCAAAATGATTCCAGAGATCGAGGCGTAAGTATGAGGCAGATTGCCAACTGATTTGTATAGCTCTACGTGTAGGCTAAGTCCAGACGATCTGCCTTATCAAATATCAATTTACTCAGTACTTGGTTCTTTAACAAAATTTGCGACTACAATTTATAGCTATCAAAGGATCCGGACATCAAAACGATCTGCTGATATTAATTTAGGTGTAATGATGCTGCTAGCGATTAAATTACACGTGTAAATGTACACATGTAGGCTAACTTCCTTTCGATTAGTTGCTTAGTAATTTCCTTTAACTAAAATATTCACCTTTTACTATTTATCTTATTTATTTAGTTCATCAGTGAGCGGTTCATTAACCACACTAACAACCTATATTTTGAAATATTAATTGCTTTACCTTTACCTGTAAGCACCACTGATAGGCTGTACTTCCTTGTCACCTTCAGTTTCAAGTGTATTTTACTCCATTCAGATCAATTCTACCTCCTCCAGTTGAAGAGGAGTCTGAAATTTACAGTTTAATTTTTTTTTGTATAAAACAGGCCCAAATGCCCAAAAGTTTTGTTTGAGGGTTAGATTTAAGAACTTAAACCTACCAAATTGATATTGTTTTCCACTCTTCTACAGTTAAGATCTATTATTTTGGTACATGTTAAGACCTACAGATAATTTATTAAATAGTACAGTAAAATCTCTCTTTTTTCCACCCAGTGGATTAAGATTTTAAGAATTTTATATAACATATTTAAAACAAAGCATAAATCTGTTTTTTGTTTAGGTTTCAGTGGCATGCATTCAAACACTGTACTTAATAATTTAACCGTAAAAAAATAATCTTTATATCCAGCACAAGAAACAGAGCATTCAGACATTAACATTGATTTTAGTATTATAATCTGTGATGTTAACCACGCGGGTTATGCCAAATGCTAGTAAGAAAAGCTGGACCAATAAAATTTGAAAATTTTCAGTTTTTGATCATTGTTTCTGTTTTCGTCCAATACATTGTTATATCCTGGTGGCTCAGGAGGCTAGAATGCTACAGTTTTTTTATGATTGGTTTTATTTATTTATATTAACAATTACTTTATTCCATTACTTTCATTTAAAACCTTTCAGGTCTGTACAGATGCGCCTCTATACTCTTAACAAGCGGCAGTTTGTATTGGTATTTGCTGCATTCTTTCTGTGCTTTCTCCTCACAGTATTTATAGGACTGGCAGGTTGGTACCGAAGAATTGTGATAAGTTTGTAATATTGCAAGTTCAAATATCAAGGTAAACAATTTGTGAAGTGATCATTCTCAAAAGAATGATTATCCTGACAAAATGGAAATCGCTTTTGCAATTACCCCAATTGCTGAAATTCATTTTATCCTCATTTATATACCTTGGAGGTGATTTGCAATTTTAATTGGTTTTTGTTTTACAGGACCATCTGTTATTGAAACATCAGAGACATCTGCTGCAGATCTAAATCCAAAACCAAATTTGCAGGTATGGGTCATTCATTCAGCTTATGTCAGGTCGAAATTAATTTTATCAGAAAAAGTTTTAAAATGTTATCATTGTTCTGCCGCTAAGTCAGTAATATTTCATGTATACAACCACACATTAGTTTTTTAGCATTCCAATTTATGGGCTAGCTAACTTCCATTTTTATATCTTTATACTTTCTCTAAATGATTTTGTTATGAAAATAGTATTCATAACATAATGATTTTTTTTTCAAATAATATTTTGCAGACTGGCCCTTTTATCTTGCCTTCTTCATTAATGTCAACATTTCACCAGCAGCTGTGGTTGATCGCACAAATACAAATCAACTCAACTGGTGGTAAGGATATATTTCCATTATAAACTCAGTGCCATTTTAATTAAACCACCAGTTCACTTTTTGTCGCATTAATTATCCTATGGTTGCATTTTTTAAAAATTAAAAACATATTTTTGTGTCTATACAAGCATGAATTGACAGTATGAAATAACTACCTGCATAGCTGTAGAAGTTCAGATTTCTTAAACAGCATTGCTGTAATTTTGTGATAAAATATTATTTCTATATTTAATTTACTCCATTTTATTTAATATAAAAGGAAACTGTACTCTAACCCATCAGTCTTATAAACCAATGTGATATTTTAATTTTATAACACTAAAATAAATCTGATATGCCATCAAGGGTACTCTGGTTTCAAAGAAATCATGATAAATTCAGGCATCTTGCCAACCAGTGTCTGTGTTGATTGCTAGGGCAAAGAAATAAAAATATAATACTAGTATGCGTATTATTGTAGATGTTGAAGTACACACATCAAGTCCCTTTATGGTTGGTGTACGGATAGCAGGCTTGAAGAGTCATGGGGTGAAAGATCTGCTCTTGGATGGAACCATGCATAACAGGTCCAGGGAACTGAAGTGTTCAGGACAGGTGTGTGTCTTGTAATGTGTTTTCTGTATCTGTAGAGGAAATATCTGTTCTGCCAAGGAGTCATAGACAATAACTGACGTGGGGAAGTTAACCTTTGGGTTTTTGTCTGGGAGTTTGTGTGTGTGTGTTTGTGCGAGAGAGAGAGAGAGAGAGAGAGAGAGAACATATTTATCTGGCATATAAGACTTGTGCTTTTAGATCTGTGTTTCTCGCTTTATTCTCATATTGCCAGAATAATTTGATTTTTAAAAAAAATTTTTAGTTTTTTGTTTTTTGTGACATATCCAGCAGTATGGTGACTACAGTTCTGATGATTGACATATGGGAAAATCTTGGTATTGGAATATAGATCGTGGTCATATGATAAAAGCAACTGTCTGTAACATAAAATTTGTTATTGATTTTTTTTTATGTTTCAGACTTGTGATGACCTGAACATGTTACACCTTGGTTACCTTGACTACAGCAGATATGTTGTTACTATATATTTCTTTGGATTAGAGAAACAAAAAGTTCTACAAATTAGAGATGTGAAATTCCAGGTAAATTCATATTTGAATCTCTGATTGAATTCCATATTCAAACATACTGTTATCCCACTGTTTTCATCTTCTTGAAAAGGAAAGATAGAATGTAAAATAGTTTTTTGCAGTCACATTTCACTTGCTTGTTTTGTGTATGTCAAAAAGAATTGTCTTAATGGGAATTCAGACCATTATCCTTGTAATTTAAAGTAATATAAAGATACTGGTGAACTGTTGTTGATATTCCGTTGATAGTCTACTATCCCTACATGTATCTTCCTAATTTTCTTTCCAGTTCAAGAGCTACAATCCCACATTTACACAGATAGAGATCTGGTTCCGCTTTGTTTTCTTGTTGATAACTTTCTTGGCTACAGTAAGTATATTATCAGCTGTATTGTAGATGTAGCTTAAGCTGTGAAAAAAAGGTAGTTGATACACAAATGGTTGCATTTTTGATATATGATGATGATGTACTAAAAATGAATCCCTCGTCTTTGAAATTGCCTGTTGATTTTAAGGTGTGAGGTAATACACTGTCACCCGAGCAATATATGCCAAAAGACTTCAAGTGCCAAGAGGTGTTCAGAGCACATATCATGGGAAGATAGTTATTTGATATGCATACTGAGAGAAAGCACTCACATTTCACTGAAAAAAAAAAAAAAAAAAAACCCAAGACCAAATAAAGCATATCTAGCCATGGTTACATAACATCTTTAGGTATGTATCATAATTGAACTTTGCCTAGTTTAGTTATATCCCATCAAGATTGAACGTGTAATATTATTTTCAGTGTGCATTTGCCCATTCACTGAGAAGGTTCACAGTGCGGGACTGGTCCATGGAGCAGAAGTGGATGTCAGTTTTGATGCCCCTGTTGTTACTTTATAACAGTAAGTTTTTGGTCACAAAACTTGGAGTTTTGTGTTAGGAAATGTTACACTTTTAAATGTTGCTAATGAGCTCCGTTATTGTTTTTTTAAAAGAAATTTCAGTTTTAAGTTTTTGGGTAGAAGAAAATTTTGCAGTGTTTAATCATTTGAATTTAAAAAAAAACTTAACTTTCATTTCAATTTTGATTTTGCAGTATCATTTTAGTGGAATATTTTGCAAGGTCAAATAATAAAACATATATTTTTATCATTTTAAAAGAGAAGATTAGTGAATATAAACTTTTTTGAAAAGAAACATCTCTGAAATTTACATACTATTTATGTCAAATCTTTCAGATCCTTTCTTCCCATTGACATTTCTGGTGGAGAGCTGGATCCCTGGCATGTTTGATGCCATATTTCAGGCATCATTTCTGTGTGGTTTACTTCTGTTCTGGTTGTGCTTATATCACGGAGTGAGACAGGCAAGTTACATTTATCAAAGAAATAGATAGATAAATGAGAAAAGAAGGTATTAAGAAATAGTTATATTCGGATGTCTAATTTTTATAACTTAATTTAATATATTTGATGATAGTCCTTATGATTACATTTGCGATAAAATGGAAAGATGATTTGTAGGTAAGTTTGCTAACTCCTCATTCAGTATACTTTAATATACACCTGGGAATGCGCAATTATTCCAACAGTACCTATAAACATCATTTAAAGCTATAAACTAAAGTTAGATGTTGATTCACTTCAAATGTTTATAGTAAAAGTTTCAAGCAATTTTCTTTCCAGAACAAACCTAAGATGTAACTAATATATATTTAACAGACATCAATCTTATGTCTTTCTTTTGGTTGGTTTTACAGACAAAAAGACATTTCTGTTCTTTCTACTTGCCTAAACTGGTTGTTGTTGGATTGATATGGATCTCAGCAGTGACTTTGGCATCCTGGCAAGCTTATAATGAACTACAAGATCCCACATATAACTACTCACTGGATACTGCCAACTATTTGGTAACTCATATGTTTAAACAGACATTATTTATTTATTTATATAACCACCTTTAAAAGATGAAAGGAAAAAAAACAGCAAATGAAATGAATAAATTAAAATGAGATGAAATAAAATGAAATGCATAAAAATTACACAGCGTATATAGAAGACGGTTAAAAAGATTTTAAAAGTAGTCCCACAAGCATGTCTTCCTTAGATTGTCTCTTGAAGATGTCAGATCTAAAGAAAGGTCTCTTTGGTGGCATTTAGTCTGGGATTGATATTTCAGCATTTATTTAAGCTCTGTGTGTTAGAATATGATTGTAATTTATCATTTAAATCATTACTATTTCTTCAGTGATGTGAGTCTAGTTGTTAAGAGAAATTAAGTGTTCAGTAGTGTGAAAATGTATTGAATACAGGTCTTAAAAAGTATCAGTGAGTACATTGTTAATATTTTTTCTTTTCCTTCTTTTTCTCTCCAGGGATTTCAAGTATTTTTCTACACAATTGGTGTTGTGTACTTACTGTACCTTATATTCTTATTAATAAGAGCTTACGCAGAACTAAAATCCATGCCTTTCTTTGGTAAGTTAAGAAGAATTTCCTTGCATGTTTTGTTTATAACATAAAAATATTGTATAAATCAAACAGGAATTGACAATATATCTTAGGATTTTATTTCACTGTCATTATCTTATTGTTTCTTGTCCTTTGACACACATAGTCAGAATGTCAAATTTCTTTTTCAATTTAAATTTTTCAATTACTTAAACAGTTCATTTTTTAAAACCATGAATTTGATAACAGGTCCTAAATATTATGAAGAAATACGATGTAGAAAACAACCCCCCATATTTTCACCTTCTGACATTTCAGATTTGCGTCTCAAGTTTATGACAACATTAATGTTGATAGTTCTTGCCATAACTGTTGCCATAACAGCACTACGATTTGGCACCAATATATCCCAGGATGCTGTTGTGACTGGATCATCGATCCACTATCAGTCCAGTGCCGAATTCTTGTCCTTCTATGGATTGCTGAATTTTTACCTGTATACTATGGCTTTTGTGTACTCTCCATCCAAGAATGCTTTAGTTGGTAAGTGTTTTTATGGTATACACATCTAAAAGTTATTGTTGCCCAATTTGTTTTGGTGAAATACAAAATGGTTAAATTAAATTACGAGTTTTTATGTAATTTTTACTTTCAGTGGTAATTTGAATTACAATTCATTTATTTGATATAGTGATATGACAGAATAAGAAAGAAGGGTGGAATGGTACAATTAAGGTAAGGTTATGTTTCTAGGAGTAAAAAATATCTATTGTTTATTTTGTAGAATCCCATTTTCGAGATAACCCTGCTCTCTCCATGTTGAATGATTCAGATGAAGATATCGTGTATGGGTAAGTTTAATATGTTCTACGCAGGAAAGTGCTTTATGCTTTAGTATTTCTTTACATTTTCTCATTAGTTATATATTTTTCAGTTATGTTTTTTATGATCTGTTGACCAGTTTAGCCATAGATAATACATAAAGTTGATTGATATTTTACAGAAATATTTTGTTGCAATTTTTGGAAATGAATAATTACAACTTGTCTAGCATTTTAAAGACAAAATTCAATTAAATAATATTAATCTCCATATGGAATTGCTTGGGATACATAGATACATCTTTATTGTAACTGAATCTTTTAAAAATGATTCTGTTCTGTTATGACCTCCAGTTTATGATTAAATACTATGAAAGAATTTAAATATGTTATGAAATATTTGTTAATTATAAACATTTACATAGTCCCTGGTCATAAACACAAAAAAAGATTTTATATTACACATTTACATATAAGCCCTACCTTAGTGAAGGAATGTCCTAGTAATTGGCTTGCAGTCCACCTTTCCCGGGGATCAATTTCCAGGCAATGTGACAGGAAATCCTTCCCCTCCTCACTCAGGGTGTCTGGGATGGCAGGTTTGCACCCCATACCAACTTTGAACATGATCTGGTAGTTGTTCTCAAGCTCATGCCAAGGTCTCTGAAACAGAAGTATATTTGTATGTTAATGTGTGTTCTTCTATAAACAAATCAGAAATACCCATGCAGATCCAACAAATAAGTGACACATAATATATATTCTGTAAATGCAAGTGTGTTCAAATCTGGGACAAAAGCACATTCCACACATCCACACTTAAGTCATATTTGCTTCAAGTTTAGCAAACCAATTACAAATCCTCATTTTATCATCCAAAATTCTGTCTCCATAGAAGGACAAGTGACAAAGTTGTAATGTGATCATCCCCGTCACCCTATTTATGATTGGAAAGATAAACTTAAAACAAAGACAGCTGAAGAACAGAACCTGATAGGCATGCACATAAGGAGATTTTTTTAAAGTGTACACAGTGGAACTGAAGCTCGAGATATCAACTAGAAACTTAATAATTAAACTTACTGATAAAATGCAGATGCATACAAAAAACTTGACCATTCTATCAATTAAATGTCAGTCTCTTGCACCAAATTAGGATGGAATATCTACCTTGCCTGTAGCCATCTCAATGACCACACATCCAAGGCTCCAGATATCTGCAGCACGGCCGTGGCCCTCGCGGTCATTGTGTGTGATCACTTCTGGAGCCATGTAAGCTGGAGGAAAATAAAAAAATATTGGAACAATTGCGCTCTTTAATGGGCATATGTGCTAACACTTTTTATTTAAAGGATATCCTTAATTGTATGTTTTAGTTTTACACATATAAATAAATGTTAAATTTACTATTCAATTGTAAAATGTAAGATGTCTATCTTTAATATAAAAGTCAAGTTAGAACTTACTGATAATTTGATTCCTTTTGTTAAAGTTGTTTCAACTAACAATTTTACACTGCTATAACACATGAGACATTTTTCAAGCAACACATGATATCATCTTTGCTTTTCTACTTCATAACACTTTTATCCTTTTTTTATCACCTGAGTGTTCATTAAAATCCATCTATCTTCTCCTTTGAAGATTTCATATCTTGCATAATTTCAGGCAAGTTCTTACCTGTTGTTCCCACTAAAGTGTTGATTTCTCCAGGCATGGTGGTGTGATTCTTTAATTTCACTGAACACCCAAAGTCTCCAAGTTTCAATGGCCCTTTTGATTGTAAGAAAATATTGGCACCTGTGTAGGAATAAATTTTTGATTAATAATAAAATTTGTCATTATTTTTTACCATAAATTTTTGTCAAAATGTTCCTTGAGGGCAGATCTGGAACAAAAGTTTTTTTTCTGTTTTAAATCAAGAAATTTTGTATCCATAAGTAATCTAAACTGAAATTTTGTTTCAAAATTTTGCAAAAGAAAGTTGATTTATAAATGTATTATTTGCTTTTTTTTAAACAAACTATTTTTTAAAAATTTGAATTCTATACCCTTTCACTGACTATACACTAAGATTACATGACAAAATATGCAAAAGAAGCAGTAAATTTGGTGCCCGAGAGTTTAAAATCATTTGTGAACGTAGAAAAGAGAAAAAAAACACATTTTCATTGATACAAATTTTTTCAAAAACCATAAATAAATAAAAAAACGCTAAGGTCTATTTACCCTTAATGTCCCTGTGTACAATTTTATTGTCATGTAGTAAGCTGATGGCTACTAGAATCTCTTTGGTATACTTCCTGATGAGTGGTTCAGTGAGACCCATCTTTGCTGCTTCCTCAATTGTGCCCTCATCACAGTATTCCATAAAGATCACCATTTCATCCTGCAAGAAAAATATACATTTTCATCCCATGATTTTTGCATCGTAGATGTTCTTTATGAGGATCATCAGTTCATTCTGATAATTTATGAGGATCATCAGTTCACTATGATTCTTAATGAAGTTCATCAGTTCATTGTGACAATTTATGAGGATCATCAGTTCACTCTGATAATTCATGAGGATCATCACTTCATTCTGATAATTTACAAGGATCAATGGCAGATTCTAATGACCTGGGACTATTTTCATAGAACAATGGTTAACAAAAAAAGTTATGTAAGCTAACTATGTTATTACACTTGCAATACCATTAAGTGAATTTCAAAGTTCAAATAAAACTATCAATCCCAGTAAAGTAATATTTTGAAACTCATTTTAGTTCTACATGTTGATAACTGCTGCTGCAAAAAGCCTAAGAAAAGCAGGTGAAATAGATTCAATTGTTTCGGATCTAGAGACAGAGGTTTGATGCTAGTTTTCATTCTGGGTGCTCTTATAGTACTTTGTCATCAAGTCCTGTACTAATCTTATCTAAAGTCTTACAATTAATGAAAAAATATTTAATTAAAATTGCAAAAAAATACTTATTTGCCCTCGCTGAATAACACAGCACAGAAACAAATTATAAAGATGAATTGATCTTTGTTAACTTACCCTGTGAACCTCCACCCCAAAATATCTCACTAAGCTTTGGTGCTGTATGCTTTCAAACAGACTGATCTCATCTGCTATGTCCTTTATTGTCTGGTGGTCATTGGGTTGGAAACGGATCTGATTAAACAAAGTTTCATGTTATTCCAATCTGAAGAAGGTATTAGATATGAGCAAAGTGAATATAAAACATTCAATTAAACTGTATAATATGCCTGATGGTTATAAATGCCAATGAAAATAATATTAGGACTTAAGCAATGGTTAATCTGCATCAACCATGCTCACAACTTTGATCTTTTCTCGATTTTACTTACTTCTTTCATTGCCATAAGTTCTCCATTGTCCATATTGACTGCACAATATACTTTGCCAAATTGCCCCTCCCCTGAAAAATCACAAAGTCCATCAATAATTATATGTAACAATATGTCAGACAAAAGCATAATTGTTTACTAAAAAGGCTTATATTGATCTTTGTATTTTTTAACTTAAAATTACTATAATATTTAAAAGCCACTCAAACACAACCAAAATACACTCATTAAAAACATATGTATAGTATAATTTCTTTCTGCTTCAAGATACATATAAATATTCAATAAGTGGACTGGTATACATTTTCAAATTCCACTGTCCAATGTTAACCTTACCAATTTTATTGCCCCTTTGCCACTTAAAATGCACCCTCCTCATATGCAAGTGACAGTTATTGTCACTTCTCTGAGTGGTGATACGCCCAATTCTTCTTTTTGCCAAAAGTCTTTCATTTTGATCCTGCTCTAGCCTAGCCACTGCTTGATGGACACGCTCCATAGGCTTCAGTGGCACACGAGGTACAACTTGCTTTTCTGAATATAAAGCAAGCAGTTTTGAAATGAAATATAACTCATCTTAAAGTAAATTAAATTCAACTAAATTTTTGACTTGAGATTAGTTTTATTTTTTTGTGAAAAATTAAACGTTATCTTTGAACTTTTTATTTCAAACAAATGACAAAGCTTATTTTTGATGTTTATATTAATTTATCTTTCTAATTGGCATTCTTAAGACTTTAATCCATAAAATAAAGTATTGTAGATATGATAGATAGTTTCACTTCTCTTTCAAAAATGACAACACAATTATAATACATAAGTTAGCATAAGCAGGCATCAAGCAAATAGATGGAAAAGCAATCTGCATAGTACACAAGGCTAAAAATATTAAAATATCAATTCATATTATATACATACATACATACATAAACAGATGTACATTTTCACTCAGTGTCACAAAAACTTTCTCAAAGTACAAAAAGAGTAGAGATGTACTACAAGTCTGACTTAGGCACAAAACATTTTAATTTATCAACACCTTAGAAGACATCAAAAGCAAAAACAGAAAAAGACTAAATATTAGGAGACATCAAAAACTACCATGCCTTCTGCGTGGAAACAATATGTCCAAGTAAGCTTTCCTAGCCCAGGTGATGGTCTTACAGTTTTAAATTAGTATATGGCTTTAGTCATAGCAGTTGTGTGCTTGGCTACAATAAAATCTTTCTTGTGAAAACAGGAAAATCATTGCATATTCTCCAAGTTGCAGAGGGTAAAAAAAAATCAGAGGATAAGATATGCATTTGGCATGGCAACTTCCTCCAAGCTGTAAAAGAGTGATGCATATAACATACTTATAAAATTATATTATGTGCTAATGAAGTGCAGCTGTGCAGAATACCACAGATGACAGTTAATGTACAGTGTAATTGCCCTTTGTGTCCAGTGCATTGACATTAGTAGGTGCAGTGTTTATGAACAAAAAGGCAGGAAATTATATACACAGCACATGGAAATCCAAATATGCTATATAGACATTGATTTATGCACAGAACATCCACATGTATAACATTCCAACTCTTAACAAATCTTATTCTAAATATTTTTTCTGGTGGTGTAATTAACCTTGCTATGAGCCTTGATTTCGATGATATTTTTAATATAAACACAAATAAAATTGTTTTACATATAAGCATGCATAGCGTTCCCATTACCCTTTTCAAAGACACCAAGAGTGGTACAGACATCAATAGTAATTCAAACTTGAAATACAAAGTCTGAAGATTTTTAAACAGAAGACGCAAGTGATCAGAAAGAAAATATGAAGATTTCAAATCAAGAACAAACTTATGAGGACCCATTTCTTAAGATATTTTCTACCACACTTCACATGTATACTATATCTCCCGTTTTCACCTGTATACAGATTGTCCTTCTCTGAGAAACTCATTGCTCCAATGCTATGTCTTTTCTCTAAAATTGGGCCTGTAATAGTCGAAGATATTGAATTCAAAGTCAATATCTAACCTACCTTAGGAGTGGTAGATTTGACTGCAGTATATTCTTGATATTGAATTTGTTCTTTACACACAACATTTCCCTCTCCCTCTTAAACTTTCAAACTGATAATGCATTTCTATTTCATGTGATTTTTTTAAATTTCATATTACAGTAATTAAAAAATGTGAAGAAAATAAAATCACACGCATGCAGTGATTATCTTGGAACAAAGCACTGCAAAAAGAAAAAACGTAAGCTGTCTAAACAGAAAGTATAACATTTGAACCAAATCACCTGAAACTGACACATTAAGCCAAACAAGCTGCAGGGTAGACTTTTCTAAAATCATTTAGGAAAAGTTCTGTTTTATCCACTATCTGACTCAATTAATGCAAAATATAATCCTTTGATACATGTGTTTTCCCACCTTTTGGTCTGACGTGAACATCCATAACAATTCCACCATTTTCTCCATCATGAATTTCCACAGCGCGACTGGGTGATGCTGCTGGGTTGCCACCTAGGGAGAAGTATAGAAACTATTTATTTATACATCATATCATACATGATAAAACATAAGACCTCTGATAAGCAGTAGAATAGTGTTGCATTTTTTTTTTTTTTTTTGCCTTTTACTAGTTCTTCATGTGTGAATTTTAATTTTGTTAAATTATGTAAATCTTGTGTACTTATTACGATTGCTACAATATTCGGAGCCAATGGTCTCATCTTGATAGAAAAATGATATGAAAGGAAGAATAAGATTTTCCATATGATAAAAGAAACTTCTCTATGAAATACGTATGTGATATAGCCCCATGGCTCAGTACAGGCAATAATGTCTCGAATTTAACTACTAGAGTACATCCAAAACTGCTCTATCCCTATGCAGTTATTTAGTAGCCAATTACTTACCATAAACAAAATCAGACTTATCTGTTGAAGCCTGAGATCTGTTTCAAAAAGCCATTGTAAGGCAAAAAAATTGATTACAATATCCTTTGATAATTTTGTGGTGCATCTGAAACAGAAATTCCAAGAACAAATCCCTTACAGAAAAAACTCTATGAAACACGACCCTGATCCCATACCTAACCAAGGGTCAGACTGTGATGGGTGAGGCGACGTGGCAGGGTCACTCAGCACAGAGCGGGTTCGTATTGGCTTGGGGGAGGGTGCCGGCTCTGGACAGGACAGGTTCCTGTAGATCATGGCGTTCCTCTGGGCATTCACTGGGTCTGGGCTGCTGGTGCGAAAGTCTGAAAATATGTATAATATTTTTTTCTTTGTTACTTTGTTCTGTGTGTGCTTAGAAGCAGGGGTAAAATTCCTGGTCTGGCAGTGAAGGATACCGTTTGGTTGCTAGCTTTCAGCACCACAGACGGCAGCTGAGCTGTATCCTGCCCAGGGAGGCTAGAGCGTCAACACCTTGTCTGTATCAGGGCCAAAAATGATCAGGCATCCATTGTAAACCACGCTGAGACACATGTGTAGTGCAATATCTAAGAACTGAATTTTACTTTTTTTTTTTGAAGATGAAACATTACAAGTATCCAGGGAGTTTACAACATTCATTATGAATATCTCATCAGAAAGTTAGTTGAGTAGCTCTAACGTGTTGTAACCAGGACAGGAAAGTTACAAGTATTAAAAAAAAGCAAAAAACATTTATTTCTACTCACTTGGACTGCCCGTTTTATCCGAAGAACTGCCAATCACATGGGATATGCAGTTGTTGATACTGTGCTTCAAATCCTGAAAGAATCATTATGTGGCATAGAACAGACATTTCAGAAACTTGTATATATTTTTATTATATCATTTACCAAAAAAAAAAAAACAATCTTTGAAAGCCAAACATAATGAAGTTGCATTAAATTTGGCATTAGCCAACCAAAGACCAAAATAAATCTGGCTAAAATCAATAAAGGCCATATGGGGAAATAAAAGATAGTGTTCATGATATGTAATCGGAACAAGTGCTGTTATCTGATATGATATGATATATGTAATACATCAATAATTCCAACTAATTGATTAGTATATTACTAACACGATCACAAGAAATCAACCTCAATTGATTAGACATACTACTTAAATTTTAGAAAATGCAACTTGAACCTACCAAGAATTCACCTTCTGTGAGGAGGGCCAGAACCCTGGCCTCACAAGCTACTGTGAGAAACTCAAGACCTTGCATTGCCCATCTGACATATAAAGATTGATATAAGAAGGTATAAGCAAACAATTGTGTGTGTTCAACTACAGCTTGAATTTTATGACATCATTCTTATTCGCAAGCTATTTAAACCACTACTGCATTCAATTGACTATTTATTTAACACTTATATTTACCTATTTAAGTTCAAGCAAAAATTTAAAAAAACAACTACGAAATATAAAGTGTCACATGACCACTGTGTTTTCAGTAAAGCTCACCTGGGTTTTACTCCTCGCCCTCTCTCACATTTTTGTGTAACAAACTTGGTCCATTCTTTGGCAAAACTTATCAGGCCATGTGCTAGCTTCTGTCTGGCGTCACCTGTCACCAGCCTGGTCACTTCTTTGTGGTACTAACCAAAGATCATAAGACACGTAAACATTGAGGAATCAAACATACACTGCCAATAATGAATTTGGTAAATGTGTCCATTTTTTCTTGGTATAAGAATTCTTGAAATTCATGATGAGAGATAACAGTCATGCACACTGCAGGCGTTGTATAATTTATTGTTTATCAAAAATTGCTATTGTCCATGTATAGAATTGTGTAATTCTATTCAGTACACACACATACACACACAAGCATGCACAACCACACTGTTCTCATCAAATTTCAGTTTCTGCATATTATTAACTATGGAATGTTATCGTCAGAGAGAAGAATTTCATCAGCTGGGTTAAGTTATAAGAATGATGTGATTTTTTTCTTCAGTCAATTATTATTATTAATTTCTTAATTATTATTATTAATTATTATTATTAATGTTATTGATACTAAAAAATAAATAATTCAGAAAGGGCAAACTTTCCACAAACTGCAATGTTTAGACCCAAATGAAAAGAATCCTTACAGCTTGATTGTTATTCATTTGTACTTTTCTAAAGGTCAACCCTCTCAAGAACTCATTAAAATCTATCCCTGGGGAAACAAGTGGGCAAAAAGCCATATAACTGGTGAAGATAATAGAAATTCTTGTTTTTCTTTTCAAATTAGATAACTTGGCAAACACAAATATCAATCAATGTTTGTTTTTGTTGGTTTGTTTTGTTTGTTTTGAAAAAAAATGACAAAAACATTTTCTTGCAATTCACCACAGTATGAAATCAAAAGATGTTTTCAATCAGTGTTTCTTACTTCAAAACCAAAGTTATAGCATTGGTGCATGGTTTCCCTGTATAACTTCAATATGTTGTATTTCTCCATTTCTTCCCTCTCTGAAATGTCATCAAGATTCAGCTTCTCATCCACCTGTATTATGGCCTTTGCTACCTTTTCCCTCAAATACATGGCTGTTGTCTGAAATTATGAACACAACCACAATTGTATATTCAAAGGAATTACATACACATGTAATAACACTGGATAACACTGGATGTCAGTGTGATCATAAATGTAGCGCAGTGGAGAGCTATATAAACACATCACATTCCGATTTGTAAGAAAACTTATATATCAGTTAAACAAATTTTCCTCCAGAAAGAAAGCAATAATCTCAAACTCAAAGATTATTGCTTGACCTGTCCCTGCACTTGGATTAGATGTTACGTCAATAAGTTAAGTTCTAAATGAATCATGCTTCATAAAGACAACCATGTTTTCCTGACATTTCAGCAGGAAATATCAACATCAGGTACTTTTATTTGAAGGGTTTTACCATTCGTAAGGCCTGGATTAGAAAAGATAAGTAGTTTTGCCACGTATTTAGACACAAAAATACAACTTATGGACATTTCCCAACTTTAACTTTAACGAATCCCCATCTTCACCACAAATGTTATGTCCAAAGCTATCAAAACTGACCACTCACCTTCAGGTCAATCAAGGATTCAGCGATGGCCTGATGACATGACGTCTGCTCGTTGACAAGTTCCACAGCTGACCCCATGCTCCTTTTAAAGCTCTTCCTTTGTGCTGGCAGCTGTGAAGAGTTGATGACCACCAACAACAGACCTTCAACCTAGTGAAAAAATATTTATTTCTGATAAAGAAGCAATTTTTACAATATTTTTTACCGATCTAAACCTAAATTTTCTAAATATTTTACCATTCAAAATAAACCATACAAAATACAGTCAGCAGTTTGAGTACTTTTTTTAACTTGGATATAAAATCCTTTTTGTGCAGTCTTACACATGCATTATCTTTGCTCTTTTCTCATGCAATACTTTTTTCTCTGGTTCTTTTATTCAGATCATTATACAAGAAAATACAATGGGTTGCAAAATTATGCAAAATCCATCACCATCAGAGATCATGACAGTGCCAAGCCACCCACCTCAATATGGGACAGGGCAATAGTGGTCTCAGCAGTGGGCTCCACCCTGACCGACGTCCCCTCCCAGCCACACGTCCCGGTTTCCCACCGGACCAGCAGCAGGTAACCTTCATGACTCTCCTTGCCCACCTGATGATAGCGATAGAGATTTAGACTTCTGTCATCGTAAAAAAAAACATTCATCACTGCATTTTTACTAATAAAAGCCCTTGGTACAGAAACAGTGAAAATATTAAGCTTTATTTTGAGAAATGAAGCTTAAGATTTTCACTGCTTTTGTATAGAAAACATCTAACAGAAAAGCAAGTTACTTACGGTGGCACATATTTTTTGGGAAATCAATTATTTTTTTCGATCCATGGCAAATAAAAAGGAAATTTAGCTTTTTTTACAGTGTGGCCTAAACTTAGCTAAAACACATCTAGTAGATGAAAATTTGCTACAACGGGAAGTACATTTCAGGGCGCCTACAGTGTTTGAAATATGTCAACATCAAAATACTCACCGGGAATGAGTGGTGAATGTCCTCCCTACCACAGGTGACATTCAGCAGCTGTAGAATCTGTTCTTTGTCCTCACTGATGTGGTGTGGTATAAACATCAGGTAGCCTGCATTGGCAGGGGCATTCACCTTAAACAGGAAGTAAGGATTTGGTCTATACTAATATCTTCTTTGCCTTCTTCTACAGGCAAACATGGCAAGAGCATGGAGTTTCTTCAATGTGTTAATTTTAAAGATTAACACATTCAATTATTTAACGAATAAATGAATTTACTTTAATCTATAAGCCTTTTTATGTGACTACAACAGTTTGGTAATAAATACAAGCTTACATCTCCAACTGCAGTACCACTTTTTCTTGATGTAAGGTCATTGAGGCCAACCAAATGTAAATTTTAAATAAAATTTTTAAAAGTCTATGAACTTAATCGTGAGGTTCCTGACTATGAGATGATACACCATAGTGGTTACCTATGGGTCCGCACACTATTTTTCAACATCCAGACTCATTCTGGGCTTAATTACCTTGATGTGGTCTGTTTCCTTCAGTTTCTCCAACAGCTGTGCTGGTTCAACTAGAATGTTAAAATCTGCAGCAATCTCAAGATCCTGAAATAAATCAAAACCAATTATTTATCTGTAACACAGAACAGCATATATAACTTTTTTCTAAGAAAGAATAAATTTTAACATTAATCTATGTTATATAAATCTTTTGGAAATAATTTCAGGTTATTTTGGGTGTTAAATACAGGCATTATGGAGTATGTTATGGAGTCAAGAAAATATCCAAGCTCATGTCATTATCACCCTGATAACATGAAGCCATGTGCTAGCTTTACCTACCTTTCTAAGCATCTTGGCAAATCCTACTGCCTTGGCTGCCCTCTCTCTAGCTTCATGGAACAGGTTCTTAATATCCCTGCATATTCTGATAATACCTTGCCTAAATAATAAATAACAATATATCAATATATCAAATTTCAAAGTTGGGATAAAAGTAACACTGAGTTTCATAAATACTCCCCTTCCTTCTCTGCCCAGAACATCAACATGAAAAATTTATTAATTTCCTTTTTTTGCAGTATTATCCTCAAGGATATTTCAAGTGATGAAGAAATATCCTTGAAATATCCTTGAGGATATTATTTCAAGTGATGAAGAAATAAGATTGCCTAGTCCTCAGTCCTAATGCTGACTTATAAACTTAAAATCCCTTTACCAAAACCTTGCACAACTAAAATCTTGTTTCTCATCTGCTAGTCAACTAAAAACAAGCCACTCCACCTTTAATTTTTTAGAATCTTGAAATCAGTATTTATCTTACCTCAATTCTGTGGATCTATTATGCCTGAGTGTGTGCTCCTCCTCCCCCTCCTCCTCTGAGGAGGAATGCTCCATGGAGACGGACTCCACCATGGTTGAGTCATAGTTGTGGATGCACTCGTCTATGCCAATCTCCAGAAAGTCTGCTATGGAGTTGAGGAGGCTACTTGCCATGGTGCTATTTTAAAAGAAAAAATTATTGTGGGAATTGTTATCAGTCACAGCTGAGTAAGAAAACAGTTTGCCATGGTGATGGGTAAGAAAGTAGAATTGCTGTCATTTTTAATGAATACTAATATATCTGAAAGTGAAATTACATTTGGCAAAAAAGTAATCATCTGTAGCTTTCATATTTTAAAGTCTAGCTAAAAAACACATTTTTAGACAACGAACCAGCTCAAGACCTTCTATAACGAAACCTTAATATCTTAAAGCTTTATTAGGATTATTCAACATCAAAATTTAACCTAGCACATCAAAAATAAGAAAATAGATAGTCTCATCTTAAAATTGTTTCAATTTCACCAACCAAAATCTCTTCCCTGCCTCTGCCTCTCCCCCTAGGATATGGGCACAAATTTCCTTGGTGAATGTCCAATGCTCCTCAAGAGCATTTCTAAGGGCTCTAGAAGCTTCTGGCAAGTTTTGCAATGAACACATCCAGGTTTGCAGGTAGCTGAAGTAGACCTGAAATAGGTGGAAGGTTGGACTGTTAAAGAGAAAACTGCATTAATAATTAGAGCCATGTTGTCTTCTTTCCCCCTGATATGCTGATTTCCTTTAATGTTAAAAAAAAGACAAAAAATAAAAAAGTGAGTGATGACCAAGCGTATCAAAAACGACAAATAGCCCAAACCCTACTCAATAATCCTTGTAAACATTAAAAATAGTCACCATATAAGGCTAGAAAATATGCATGAATTATAAATAAAAACACCATTTTGTACCTCTAGCATCTCTTTCATGTCAGCATCAAACTGCTCCAGTCCCATCTCAAATTTCTCCTCGGCGTGGATGTCATCCCACATTACTGCTGCCACCATGTGACGATAATACTGCTTCAACAGGACACCAGCCTTTAACACTTCCATGCACTCACGTATTAACTAGAATGTTTAAATAAGATTAAATTTCAACAGTGAAAGTGTAAACTACAGATCTATATGATAATTGTAAGATCGATCAATATCCTGAAGCTTAAATACTGCTTCATTATAGTATGCTACCTCTCACCATCTTCATACCCTTAAAAATAGACTTGCAAGATGAACAAGAACAAAATGATAATAATATTAATAGATTAACTTATAGACAAACAATTAGACAAATGAATTAGCCAGCACAAAAATCAATAAAATTTATATATAATCAAAAAAAAAAAAAATGAATAATCAAATCTGAGTAGATATCAATAGATAAACAATCAAATATAAAATCAAGCATAATAAACAAATTAAATAATCAGATCAACAAATAAACTGACTGTCAGTAGTAAAGAAGAATTGTAAATCATGATATATCAGTACTAGGCACTTGTTTATGCACAGAGCCTTATCTATATCACAGTTTTCACCTCGGACCAGCACACCTGACTGTGATATGAGTCAACTACCTGGTGAGATTTAAACTGAGATTACTTCATGTGGGGGTATTTTTTTAGGAAGTACCCCGCCCGTGGCTTGACAAAACAGGAGTTACCATATAAAGTATGCAGGCTTTAAACAGTTGTGGTCTTGGTTTCAGTTACATAACAGAGAATTAACATCCTATTTCCCATGGAAACTGTAAAATGTAGTAATATGTTTTCAACTACTACTCAGTCTGGCAATGTACGCAGTAAGGGAAATGTCTATTAGTTGGCAAAACACTGCGTGATGCTGGAAGATGTATCAATTTACCAATTTATGCAAACCCTGCAAACCTAGATGTGCTAATTAGTTACAGTATCTTAAAATATTGTTTTTCAGGGTTTTATCTATAAGTCACCTTGTTTTTGGGGGGTTTTTTTACCGCAAAAACATGAAAAAAAGTAAATAGTATCATGAAATGAATTTATATAACACACTATGCTTATATATCTAGTTGAACTACCCATAAGTTAGAATATTACCCAATTTTGTTAGATATGGAAACATTTCAACAACCTTACACTGATGCCAGTCTAGTTAATTAAGTTTATTACTTCAGTAATGAAAAATGCTATTTTACCTGACAGTCCCTCCCACTAACAATCAGTGCATTTTGCCTGAAGACAACTACATATAGCAATACTATGTATACTGTGATCCTAGAGAGGTGGCAACCTTAGTTCAAGTCTAGTTCAGAGAAAGTTGCTATTTTATAATGGAAAGTGCCAAATAACAGTCATGACCTAGGTAGTGATGTAATAACAGGATTTTTATTGAACAAAGTCTGTGGAGTAGACTACTAGATAGCATTTACTTGAAATGACCTAGCCTTGGTTCTATCAAACATGGGTTTTGTTTTAAGCAACTGTCCAGAATACTGTCAGCAAATGAACTTTTTAAATCCAAATTTAAAAACTTACAAGTCAAACTCCAGAGGAAATTCAATAAAATGTTCATATCCATTAAATCATGGTCTTCCACTTGGTATGCAAGAGTGGATACCAAAAGGTCAATTTAACACATATTTCATACCTGTTTTATGCTCAATAAAGATGGGTCCTTTCCCAGAATCCTCTGCTCCAGCCTCAGGCGCAAGCACTCATGAATGACATCCAAAGGCACGCGAACTAAGAATAAATATGCAGGGCGAAATGAGGGTAATTTCATATTGTCAAAACCCTCACTCCATGCTCCCTGTATGGGGAGACTGGACCTCCGATCGCGTGTTAACCCAAGAAGTTGCATGACTTCTGGAGAGAGGTCCCAAGACGGAGAGTGGGTCATCACTGCCACCTCATCACCTAGCTGAATGCCCCCCTGGAATAAAAAGTATAATTGATTTCATACAATTTGATGTATCACAGCAAAAAAAAAAAAAAAAAAACTGGACTCTAGTTCCCCAAAAAGTGTTGACTTATAGCAATATGATTATAATAAAATTTGGAAAATAATAAAAGATTGGATGGTGAAAAAATACAAGAAATATGTCTATTATTCATAAAAAGTATTGCAATTAAATATGTAGAAAAATATCAAAAATGCTGATTTTTTTTAAAACCATAAAAAATTTTTATTTAAGGTAAATAAAACTGAATTTGTAATCCTGTGTTTTGGTTTTCTACCTAGGAGGCAGGATGTTTCAACCTTTCATCATTTAGAGAGTCCAAATGTCATGCTTCATGGGTAGAAAAAACATATTCAACCTCTATAAAAATGATTTATTTTTCATCACAGTTATTTTCTTTCCTCACTGACTGGTGGCTGAAATAACTGTCATAAAATTGACACCACTCTCTGGATATATCAAGCAAATCAATACATCATACCTAAAGTCAATCATATTACACACCTGCTACACTTAAGTCACTTAACAGCTCACTCATCCCACTTATCAACATTTACTTATCACTCTCTATCCTGATGGAGCTAATGGATTACATACAAACTTAAGCCTTACCTTAGAGTTTTCCATGGAATTAAACCGAGACGGTCCTTCTAAGGCTCTCTTTGCTCTGTGCAGGGTCCCATCCAATAAATCCTTGAGTCGCATCACCAATTTTTTCATCCCCATCTTCTTGAGATTTTTATCGGCAAATGGTCTGTACATGGAGGTACTGGTCTGGTCAGTGAGGCTGACTTCGCTGGAGGTTCGCGACAAGCTGGAGACGGAACTGGAATGACTGATGACACCACTGCTGACAGGCGTGGAGCTAGTCACCGGTGGGGCTAACCGATCTTCAGGGGATTGGGGTCGTGAATGATTGTCCAAGCTGAACCGCACGTTCTTAATCTTTCTTGGCCTATTGCCTGCACCTCTTCTACTGCCGTCAGAGCCAGCTGGGTCTCCGGCAGAATCTATTTCCTGTCCCTCATCAGTGGCATACTCATCTTCTTCATCATCTTCATCCTCATATTCTTCATCGTCATCATCACTATCATCACCAATGCCAGTCTGCAGTGCACTTGGGTCTTCATATTCAACTCTCGGCCATCTTATACCAATGTCCTGATACACTCCCAGCACCTTGGTGGCTACATTCAGGGCATGACCCAGTTCTTTTGTCACATTCAACCACACGTACAGGGTGTTCACTTTGTGTGTGAACTCCACAGAGGAGTAGAGATCTGACTCTTTACCCAGAGCCTTGGTTGTGGGAAAAAGCTGTTCTATATGTTCTAACTTTTCTAGTTGCTCTGTAACCTGTTCTATGGCCTCCAGTTGTCTATATATGTGCTCTTGAGTCCACATGTAGGCGGGTAAGTCACCTTCACTTGATAAGCTTCTAGCTGATTCATTTTCTGTAAACATAAATTTCATGATTTCTTGTAATGAAGTTTCCACTTTTTCTCTCTCTTTGCACAGGTAAATATCCTGTTCTTTCACTGTTCTTGCACAATGCCAAGCCTGCAGTTCCAGCCATACAAGATCATTTAATTTTGTTTGCCAGATCTCCTGCTCTGAGCTAATTTGTCTGTTGTAGTCTTTCTTTTCTCTCTTTCCTTCTTTTGTTGGTTTGGTCCCCATATTGACCAACAATTTAAAAGTTTCATGAAATGAAACTCTGTCGGGAGGGCATTCCTCAGGATGATGAGAGAGCTGCCTTCGTTGATAACTACGCAAAGGCTCAAGAGGAGAGGCACTGTTTTCATGAGGCACGTTTGTCACCGGTTTTGAATTAAGTGATAAAAATCTGTTTGGAGAGTCTACTTTTAATGGCTCTTGCTTTGCTAGCATCTGTGGTCCTTCTACGTGTGATGTACTTTTTCTATCTCTTTCAAGACTTCTGGAGGTTTTTCGCAGTTTATGTTTTCTCCTTTGAATATTGAACCTGTCAGGACTTTCATCTTTTTCAGGATTGGTTATTGCATCCCCCTGGTCCACTGTATTTATGTCTTTGAGTTTTGTTTTTGCTAAAAGTTTGTCTCTGGGCTCTTTTTTCCCCCGCACACTCCGCAATTTCTCCTGCTTGGCCAGCCTGCCACTGTATACATTGTTGAAATTGTAATGAGCCAAGGGGTCGGCAGATTCTATATCCATTGAATTTAAGGGGGATTCTTCCTCAAAGAAATTTTCATTTTTGTCTTTTGTTAAGTCATTTCCAGGCCTGAAATATAGAATGCCATCAAAAACAACAAATTAAACTTTGAAACAAAAAGCTAATATCATGCAAAATAATGAAATGAAATAACACAGGCACATACAACACAAGTCATATTGATATGCATTTTGGTAGAGTTTATGTTTGTTTAAATGTTTGTTGTTTACACTGGGGCTACACTGTCAGCAAACAACTTTAACGATGTTACAAAAATGCATGCTGCAGCTACCAAATAGAATTTAAATCAGAATTGTGTCCTTCAAAGTTCCCCATAGATGGTACATATTCTTTTAATCCTCATTTAACTAGGATGTCTTTTTGTAATTATGCTTTGTGTTATCAAACTATGTAGTTAGCAGAAGTCCAAAGTTTATTTAGTATTTACAACTGTTGTTACTGATGAATATAGTTCAGTAAACAATGTTATCTTTAACACTTCGTGATCCTTGCCTTACATAAAAAAGGCAAAAAAGAAAGAAAAAGAGAAAGAAAAAAAGTAATTTCTTTTCACCAAGGAACACATTGTCACCGTAAAGTTCAGATCAACAAGTTCGCAACAAAATAATTAATAGCATAAATCTGCTTGTTATCAGTCTCGATTGCAAGTTTCATAGCAATATAATCAAAAAAGAAAAAAGCAAGTACACCCCAAACTAATCTCAGGTGCAAATACGCTGTGAGTGTGGACGATACCGCTCCTCAACTTTGTCAACACAATCAATGAAAGCCAAACAAGGGCACCGTCTCCTGAAAGTGCCTTACTTTAAGCAGAGATTTCTGCACGACGGTGGCGTTAATGCAACCAAAATATATTGCAATTTTAGGTGCACATCTTAAGAAACACAAGGGAGATGCTAGTACTTACGATCTTTCGAGGCTAGATGGGGCAACGGAGGTCAGATCACCTGGTTGCTGACCCTCGGCGTCATCTTGATCTTCCATCTTCAATGCACATTTTGATACGCTTATAGGTGGCGCTTATCCAAGAGGAGACACCTATTTTATCAGTACTACGTTATAAATATTTTTAAAACAAGCATCAGATCAGATACCTTTTTCAAAATGATGGAATAATAAATTTGTTTTATGGGCTTAAAAGGAAAATAATAGCTTAAATTGCGTAGATAAGGTTATCTGGTTTCTGTCTTTGCGTTATCCTTCGTCTTGGTGATCGTTCCTGGTTTTTTTCCCAATAAATCCATTATTCTAGAAGGTCTCTCTGTTTTTTTTTTTTTTTTTTTTTTTTTTTCACTTATAACATAAAGGGTACATTTTTAGATTTCAAATAATATTTTCTACTTTAATTTATCACTTTGCCATATCATATGAAACTAGTAGATCAGTTCGACGGAAATTGTGGCAGTAACGATGCGGGGAAGAAACGGTGCAGGGAGGTAACCACACCCCAGATTTTTAAAAAATATTTATTTATTTTTCATTCATCTATTTATTAACATTTTTTGTACTAGAAACAATCAAAGTTTAGAAACCGAAAAGATCTCAGCCCTCATTGTATTTAACATGATGTGTCTTTATGTGTCGTGTAAAAGATTGAAAAATTGGAAATCGGTGGATTTGCACGGCCGCATATTTGGCGAGAGTAGCATTAAAAACCATCTCGATCCTTGATTCCACCCCTCGTTTTTTTACTACATCATAACGTTTATTTCTAGATTGGTTTTTATATTCAAATGTTTTGAAATAAAACTTGGCTGAAAAAACTCAAGGTTTGCTGGTTTTCATTTTTGATATCGCTGTTGTTTTTCACAATAGACATGTACATTTACTGGTGAATACAAAAAAGTTATGTATCCGTAGGCTAAGTGTTTTGTTTTGACTGGTTATTGTTGAAATATCCCGCATTTCATTTTCTTCAACAGAAATCAAAATATTTTGAAACCAATAAAAAACAAAACTTATAAATGACTCATTCGGAGAACCTTCACTGAAAACGCAAGTCACAGGTTATCACGAAATACCAAAACAAACTTGACACGCACAGCATTGTGGGTATTTAAGCCACATTTGTGTGTCCTACATTAAAATAACAAATGTGCTGCCCGCGTCCATGGAGACCGATAAACTTTACCTCTATTCAGTGGGACTAAATAGGCACCCATTGTAAACTTTATCGCGTGGATCGAATCGATTGAGGAAGAATATCGGCGACTACTGAGAGTGGACAGAAATACCTATGGAAGCGTCGACAAGGCCAAGACAGAAGCGAGATAATTGATTAATTACTTTTGAACCGGTAAGTGATGGATTAAAAACCTTGGAAAGTTATCAAACACGGGGTTAAACAATGTAACTTCGAACCAAGTTATTTTCCAAGGTCTGTAACGTGTATCGCTAACACACAGGCATTATTGTGATGTAGTTAACCAACCCGTCCTTCGTGCCACAGGAGTATTTTATAAAAAAACTTCTAACTGAGACGTTTTAAATAAATTTAGCACTGAAAAGCTAAAATGACAAGGCTGTTCTCTTAAGGCATCAGTTCGACGCCGCTGGAAGGCATTTAGGTAATGAATGAAACTTGTCAACATGCTGTAAGCTAAAAAGCCCGATTTGTACCCGCCGGTCGTCCAGTGTAGTGAGACAGAAATGTGTTACCAGTATACTTTTTCATCGTACTTTTAAGTCACGAATTACCGGAATCATGGCTGGACTATGTGAACCCATTTGCTATTAAAAGCGCATTTGTCTCCATTTCAGTAAAATGCCAAAGGAGCAATATTTCTACTTCAGGAGAATAATTGTAAAATGGCATTTCGTTTCTTAGAGAATGTATTTGAACTTATTGACATGGTTCGGCACATGCCGCTGTATCTGGGCAGATTTGTTCACTGAATTTTCTGCTAAAGGGTGACAACAACTCTACCTCCACCCCATACTTTTTTCTGGTTATACCCTCGTGTCCAAAACTATCGAACCCAAAGCTTCATAAGGTCCCACCCCACAACTGGAGACGGAATCATCCTTGCCACATTATTCCTTTAAAATGGCCAGCTCGAGTTTTCTGTCTGTAGACTCTGTAGTGCCCCCAGGCCCGTAGCCAGGGTGGTTCGAAGGGTTCGAAAGACACCCCTTTTTTTTGCCGAGAAAATGTCTGTCTGGTTAAAATTTTATCTAGGTACACGAAGGTTTCATGGTAAAAGGTCCAATTTTTCAGAAAAAGGACCACCCTTTTGAATTAGCTGGCTACGGGCCTCACTCCACTCCTCGTTTTCTGGACTTGGGATAGAAAACTCCATCTATGACATAACCTGACAACCCAGTAACGCTGTTGTCATCTAAACATCTTATCGAAATTTACTTCACGACATAGCCCATTTATCACGAGTCTGGGTCGCGTCTCTATACACATCCTTGTCTAAGACGTTACCAAACGCCTACTTACGACAGATAATACAAGACATAAGTGTATATCTGATATTGTAATATGAAACACGCGAGGTCACGGTTAACACATTCGCTAAGAATTTTTCCCTAAAAATGAACAATATCAGTATCAACAGGATGACCAAGATTTTTTGAGGAGAGCTTATACCTATCATTGCTATTACTATTATTATTATTATTATTATTATTTGTTGTTGTGGTCGTTGTCGTCGTCGTTGTCCTCTATATTTTTTTTGACGGGATTGGGAGGTTGATGACTCATGTCTTTTCTCTCTCTCTCTCCTTCTCTTTCAGTCATCCGTTTCTTTTTTCTACATCTATTCATTTTTAGTAGGGTAAATATGTATGTCAAAAACATCAAATATATTGTATTCAAAAGTCTTCACCTCACGCGTCTCCTCTCAACGCCTTTAACAAGACCCTCTTACAGTGTCCATTGTACGGGAAATTACGAACATTCAATAGTTGACTAGAATGTTAATATTGACATTTATTCTTATTGTAGCTTCTCAGTCAGACACGAATTTACTCTTCCGTAATTGATTTTTTATTCGCATATCGTTTTGCCTGCTATTTACTCCATTAAACCTAGAACTTACAGATAGCGCTATAATTTCCGTTGTTCGACTTGAATCCGCTATCATCACTATTGCTGTAGGATCAAGTATCATATTAATGTCGCGATTCCATGGAAACGAGTTAATACATTCATTGTATTGTGTAAATGTGCAGGTATAATCCCAGAGTAAATCTCTCTGCAAGGCTGGTCTGTGTGACTGTGGTAATCTGTATAAATCCTACTCCTATTTTCCACTTCAGAGCATGGAGACTGCGATCGTAGTGAAATATATGTTGGGCTGCAGACATTGTCAGATTCTGGCCACTAAGCCTCTACAACTACTTTACAGCTAGAACTATTTTAATTAATTTCACCGGGTTGTAAACCTGTCACCTTTTCGACTGGCACCGAGGTAATCTGCAGCCAGTGTTAGCAGTATTTTAGATCAACTTGTACGGGTTTGTGACATATGATTCTATTTCAGGTGAGTTTTTCTCTGATTATTTCTATTGTTACTTTATGTCATTTTCCTTACCTTTTAGGTGTGCACCGTTGCGTGGTGGTTGTCGGCGACGCCGTTTTTCAAGTGTTACCGCACAAAACCAACGCGACACCATGCGCGAAAAGGTATATGGATGGTATCCGGCTGCTTACAACACATACGACAACCCCTTAGCTAAGCAATTTCCAAGAGGGAAATTAAAATACGGTATGTGTTTGTGAAAAATTTGCGGTGATAAACAGGCTTATGTGACAGATGGTCTGTGTGCTGAATACATAATTATGAAGGCCTGCTTTTTTATTTCGTCGTTCAATGCAACTAGATATATGCTGTATAAGAATATAACAGGACACAAGAAAGGTACTATAATATGTCAGTGTCTACTTTTTTTGTTTTTCTATGCGACCATGGACCTTATTTTGCCTCTCGCATTCCTTATGTTTTTGATATTTCAAAAAAAAAAAAAAAAAAAAAAAAGAGTGACAATAATACATAACGCATGAAGCCCACGTACATGGATCAAATGTGACGTTTTTTACGTGTTTAAGTTATCTATATCGTTTCATTTTACTTAAGTATCGGTACCTCAATGCAGGATTAAGCATATCGTCGTCTTTTTACAGAAAAAGAGGTGTTGTACCGCCACTGGAGAAGCCAGGCCAACCATGGCACCAGAGGCGTCACACCCCCACAGCCTCCCACGCCTATCCGCATCAAACACGAGGCCATGTTGCAACGCCCGGCGTCCCACGTCTCATCTACGCCAAGAACCCCCGTGCCTAACCAGGCCATCGTAGAACACTACCTTCGCATTCAAGGCGGGGGAGCGAAGAGTGCGCCTCCGCCCCAAATGTCATTGACGCCAGGTCGCCCAAAGGCGCCAACGCCATCGAAGAAACACGGCTGGGTCACAGAAGCTACGCCTATTCGTGTTGGTAAAGTCGTCGCTAAGGCGCCCACGCCCGATTCCTACGTGGAAATGAGCATCACACAACCAGGGAAAAACGTCCGAGTGAAAAGTGCTACAATACGTAGAGAAGTCTCCAAACCGCCACAAAGACCTGTGAAGTCTGCAGGTCCTGTGAGACCTCGGCCCTCAGAGAGCGCGCTTTCAGAAGAACGGTTTAGTCAGCCGCCTAGTGATAGACGGCCACACAAACCTGTCCCACCGACCCCAACCCCAGACACCACGCAAGAACATGTTGAAGTAAAAACCCCGACGTCGATGTCGTACGATGAAGTGATAGAGAAGTACGGTTGGAGGGCGGAGGTTCAGGGAGACCCTTATGGTATCAAGTGAGTAATGTTTATTTTTCTATGAATATGGTTTTATTCTGGTAACTAATGAGTATTGAAATTGTGTTTAAGTGGCATTTATTTTATTTATTTTTTCAAGCTTCAAAGAGCTGAGAGAGTGGAGGTGCAATAAGTTGTAGGAGATTTAACAAATGAACATGTATGCTGTTAATATTTGCAAAATTGGCCATCATCCGCTGACAAAATAGAAATTAAGGTGCAATACATTTGCAATTTTGCAACAAATCAAATCAGTGTTTATACCTTTTAATTTTTCAGAAATACGGTTTTACCAGAAAGATTGGCCTATACCATCAAATGCCCAGAACCAGAGATCCCACCGAATCCACTGACTGGACAAATGCAGAACTATGACACTTTCTTCTATAATACCATCCCCCGCAAGCCTCTGTCTTGTGTGGTGCATCCTGAATGGATCTCTGAGGTTTTACAAGCAAAGAGAATAGAACTGGCTAAAAAGGAGTCCGGCAAAAAGTATAGGCACACAAATTACGCCTTTTTATACTAAAATGTATTCATTATCTGGATATGAATTTTTAAATATTTTTTCTCAATATATTGATTATTTATATGGTCGTTAACAGTTTGGCGTATCTCGCTGAGCGAGGTTCGCGTTGTTTGTTAAAAGCGTTAGAATGCGTTATTTCCAAAATAGGTCAATGTATAAAAGAAAAATGTCAGTTACATATCCTCCGTTTGGAATTCGATTTTTTAAACTAGAAGTGAAGGAAAGAGTATTTTAAGACGATTATATTTTTAATCAGGGTACCCGAAAGCGCTTTCTGTTGATTTTAATAGTTTTATGTACATAATCAAAATGAAAAAAGTGTGAAAACGGACTCTAGAGTTCAAAACTCAAGTAATCTATTTTTACATATAACAAGTTTTCATAGACAATCTGACATTTTAAATAAGGGCTTAGACGTGTGAGTTTAACATTTTCAGGGAATTTTTGTCCTTTGAATTTTTGGCCTGTGGTGCACGCTCTATTTTCATTAAAAAAGTCCTTACTTATAAACTGGTGCCTAAAGTCGGATTATCGTCTGTTTGTAAATATTTATTTTCAGTGAGACCCACCGGATCTTGCATGTAATATCCAAGGTTTAGTCAAATTCAGTTTGGATTAGGTGCTCTTGCGTTTTCATATTAAAACAGCGTACATGAAACGATGGTGTCAAAGGAAAGGAAGAAAAATAATTAAACATAAATGCAGAGTGGTGGAAGTCATTGCTGGAAGAGAGTAAACTCTGAACAAAATAACATTTTATGTTTGACTTAGTAAAAAGCTTAAAGATAAATGTTAAATGTTATGTTCGAATAGGCCTAAGGGTACACTTGTTAGAGCACAATATGACTATCAGGGTAATCGACAGTTTTAATTTTTTAATTACCCAATTTGCCATATATTAATTTTTTTAATTGTACGCAAGTTTCTTAGGAAAACACTATAATTACGCAATAAAATACTTACTTTACTTTTACAAATATGTGTATCTTGTTCTGTGTTCTTTATGTTAGTCTGATCACCCGTTTGAGAAGTGAAGTTTGAAGACCCTATACAGAATATTGCCTAACTTTTTCTAACATAAAATTTTGGATCCTCCACTTTCAAAATATTTTTAACAAAACGATAATGTAAACTGTTATTAATAAACTTATCAAACACGAAATGACTATGTGTTTATTTCTCCTCTGAACCATTACCCACGTGCTAAATGCCATTGAAATCTGACAAAGGGCTTCGGTTTGGTGTTCGCTTGTTTTCTCGCCACCTATGGACCATTTGATAAGCGTGAAAGACAAAAACATCGCGGGTATCGAAAAACGTGACAAGTTGAGCAAGATGCTTGTGGAACTCTTCGCCAAGGTTAAAACTTACGAAAAAATTTCATTTTAAGCGAATTTGAACAAGTAAGATCTTGATAAAACATTGTTTCTTTTTGTACTTTCCGTCAACCTTGCTTATTTAAAGATGTAATTTGACATTGAATGCCACAGAGTTACTACTGGAGGGTTACTGCAAACGTGCAGAAATTTGGAGGAGGGGGGTTAAAAGAAAATTGTTGCATGCAGAAAAATATAGCCTGTTGGACCCCATAACCCTCTTATCCTTAATAATACCTTAATTAGGAACCACCATGGCCTATGCAATTTTAAGAAATGACATACAGTACCCCTTTACCCATACATTTTACCTGAGAATATGTGGCCATGTTTGCGGTGATAAATAGGCTTATGAGTCGCTTGGAGGATGTGTGTGCAACTGTATTTAGTTTTTGCTGCCCTTTATAAGGCTCTTTCAATAACCTTTGAAAAAGGAAAAAGGTATAATTGCATCTTATCATAATTTGTTTGACCCAAGGATATAGATACATGTAATACCTTGCTTGAATTAAGTTGGTAGAAATACAAGTATTATTTATTTTTATTTTTGTTTTATTTATTTTTTATTTATCATTTTTGAAGGGGGATAATATTTTATGGTTTATAAGAAGAATATGCTGTGGTTATGTTGACATTATTGAACTTTGCTTTACGTTTCAGAAGCAGTAAGTATTGGAAATCAAGCTCCAATTTGTTTTTACCACAAGAAGGATAATAAAGACAATGGCTGCATTGAAAAAAGTGTCTGCTTTGACAAAATTGAAAACTGCCAGCCATTTGACAACTCAGAACAGACATTGGTCTAAAAGGAAAAATGAATCAACATCAACATCTTCTGATCCCATTATATCAGTCAGTATCCAACATTGTCCCAATGATGATGTAATTCACAGTCATGACAGTGGATGTTGGGGGACGTGTGATATGCAGCTTGACACAAACAAAATACTGAACACGTCTCTAAGGCCTGCTCAACCTGCAGTGTATAACTTGCATTCTTGTCATGAAAACATAGAAAAACAATCACAGACTGCTAAAGCAGAATGGAAGTGGAGTGGGAGCCACCAAGATGGTGTTTTACATAGCAAGTTCCTCGCTGCATCGCCCCCAGTTTTTGGGATGTGTCCCAGGGCTTTTTCTACTCTGTGTCTCTGTAAACAGTGGCCAAGTTTTGGTTGCGCTCAGCAGAACAGTGTGTTGTCTCAGCAAGTCAGGTCAGTGACTCTCCTGCACCAGGAGAAGACTGTTACTCCATCAGAGATGAAGAAATTCTTGAGTGATAATGAGATTAATGTAGAGCAAGGTAAAGTGTAAAACGAAGACATTTTCTGGTGAAATTGTGATTGCTGAGGTTCTTTAAGTTTTATTTTATTTATGTGGGTAATATTTTAAAGCATTATATATGTGAAGGGTTTTTAATGTAACTGTTCCATTTAACAGAATATTAAAGCAAAGAAGACCTGGCCACAGAATTGTTACTATAAATTTCAAATTTGCAGAATCGTAGTCTTTCGTCCATTTACTGTCACTTATATACTGGTAGTGTATTTTATATTAAGGTCATACTTGCCTGAAAATAACATGTCCTCGAGTCACCAAAGAAAAAGTCTCACAAAAAGAACAGCTGTTCATCAACTTGAGAACTGGTATGTGGTTACAGATTAATCAAAGTTCGGATATTATTTTACACTTCATGTTATTCAGAATGTGGATAGAGAAATAAGAAAAGACATTAGACTATCTGTTAGAGTAATGATGTATAAAACATTTTAAGATAAACAGTCATATGATCATGTATTTCATAACTGAAACTATTGTTATGGATCAAATACTTTCTATTATCAATGTCATTAATTTTTCAGGATATTTTGTATGCCTTAACTGTAAAAAATGTGGCTCATGGGATCTTCTGCAAGACAATATTGCTGTGCACCGTTCAGACATAGACCAAAAACGGTATGTTTACAAAGTTATATTAAGTGATAGGAGAATTATGCTGAAGTGCAAATAATTTGGATTAATCAGACACAACATGGACGAAAATGGTTCTGAACTATTTGCCCAATTATCACAGGCCCGTAGCCAGGGGGGGTTCGGGGGGTTTGAAAGAACCACCCTTTTTGCTGGGAAAAGGTCCACTCTGGGTAAAATTTGACCTATGTACTTGAGGATTTTATTGTAAAAGGTCCACTTTTTCAGAAAACGAACCTCCCTCTGAAATTGCTGGCTACAGGCTTGTATCATCACACACAAGCAGAATATTTAATGCTTACATGTAGCTTATGGCCATCATGGACAAAGCCTTCTTCAGACTGAAAAAAAAAATGATGACTAAGTGAGGTCAGTTTGGACTTAGCTAACATGTAAGCTTCATTGCTTTGGTTTGTTACAAATTAATGGTCTTTGGACACAATCTGCACCCAAACTGATTAATATTTCAGCCTGGTTCTGTAGATTTGTTATCTTGAATTTGATTATGAAAACATTTTTCTCTTCAGAAAGAGACAGGCATGTGTTGGTGAAGATTCGATGAATGAGAAAGATAGAATGCTTTTGTTAAAGACGTGGGAAGCAACAGAAGCAATACATGAGGATTCTGACATTGATGACATTCTTTTGGAATTTGATATAAAGGTATTAATGAATGTAAAAAAGTGGCAGAAAATGCACCTACATTTACATGCATTTGAGAGTATGCACTGTTTAAACCATTATGCTTATTGAAGAGGTAAAAAATGTGGCATTCTGTATTTTTATGACTGCAGTTATTTGTAAAAAAAGAAAAGGAGGCCAGACCAAGTAATCTGAACAATGAACAATGAATTGTGCTTGTGTTAGATTATAAAATTGATTCAAGTCTAATAGAATTCATTATTGTTTTTCCAGGAATTGAATAAAGCTATCTTAAAGCAATTTTCTGTGAGGGTGGACCATACTGGAAACAGACTTATATTACCANTCATGTCTTGTGTGTGTGTGTGTGTGTGTGTGTGTGTGTGTGTGTGTGTGTGTGTGTGTGTGTGTGTGTGTGTGTGTGTGTGTGTGTGTGTGTGTGTGAATGAGAGAGAGACAGAGAGAGAGAGAGAAATGTAACAAGTTCATAATAAAAGCAGTCTTCCAGATGACAATTCACTTGAAATAGGTGCCAATTAAATGAATTTGTTTGGCTGTCACTGACAAAATGAAAAATTGCTTATAAAACGAAGTTTTGAATTTTCTGATTGATCAAAAGTATGCAGAATATTGTTATTAATTGTCTTCTTTTGAATGAATGAAAAAATCACTTCAAGGGAAATGGATCTAAAATACAGTGAAAATCTATTATAATGAACGGTTGCTCACCTAAGAAACATCAGTCTTTTTCTTGGTAAGCTTGTGTTAAAGAAGATCCCTCAAACACAATTGCTTTGATGCCTGACTCACATTTGAAAAGCACATCGAAAACTTTGACAACATTAAATTTATATGAATATAAATTGTTTTGTTTGACATTTTTTCAGACTAAGCTACTGGTGTTTGTTTGGAATAAACACTGTCACAGCAAAATCAACTGACAGGGTTATAATCACAGCCAATGAGTTTGATGCTATGGCTGTATTTCAAGAGCTGAGGCAGCCAGTACTGTCTCTTCCATGGGGCAATGATACTCTGCCACTGGAGGTATTTGTAAAGGCTGTATTAATTTTAATGTAAATACATCCAAGATGAAAAGCTGTAGGCATAAGAGCTAAATTAAAATTTGCTGAAATTATATGTGATGGCATAAACCATCTGATTGGCATGGGGAATATTGTATCTCATTTAGGTGATTGATTTCAACTTCTGTGTGATTAACGAATTCAATTAATTGTCAGTTTTATTTGCAGTATGATTTTAATCAGTTAGCCTTGATTCACTTATGGAATAGCCCAGTGACATGTCTTCTTCAATTTGTGCTTAGTCTTATGAAAAGCTTGTTGGTACATATCACCCCAATACCAAAAGTTCATTTGTTCTTATTCCATCTACAGGTTTTGCCATTCCTTGAGCAGTTTGACCATATAGTGCTGTGGTTTGGGAATGATATCACTGGATTCAATGCTGCCAGACAACTGTCTAAGAAACTGGGTTACGAGAGGTGCTCGTTATTTAGGTGAGCAGATTACTTTTACAAAATTGAGAAGTAGAGGAGAGGTTACACTATTCTTCTTTAATTTGGTTGCTGTTCAGTATTTTCAAAATTGGTAACCTCTAAAAAGTGATCAACAAAGTATTTCTAGACTATTTCTGATGTCAGAAAAGGAATCATGAGGGAACTTCTAGTGGACACACTTAATACAGAAAGTTGGTAATTTAATTAACACATTTATATATTTTACAACAGCAAAAATAATTTCAAGTTTGATATTTTTACTTCCTTGAAAGACCTCTGACTCCAGTCCCGACACCCATGGATGCTTTGAGACAGGGCAAGAGCTTGTCACGAATCTTAAAATTTGCCACACGTGCTGGTCATCAGTATATACAGCACTTTAAGGATTTGAGATTTGAGGTCCAGTCAGAGCTCTCTCTTGTGGAGCAAGTCAAGGGAATTCAGGTAAATACTCTGATGTAGCAATTAGCATTTTTATTATGGTTTAAGTTACTATATTTAAGGGTGTTGTTGCTTAGAAGGCACCAAAATGGTATCAGGTCAAATATATTTCTTCATTTGATTTGCTACTTTAAGATATTTTCCAGAGTGATATGGTTCTTAAGCTTCTAAAATGATGAAAAAAAATGTTTTTATTTGCTCAGAAAGTCTTAAACTAATACACTGAAAATAAGAATGAAATCATTAATTGAGTTGGTAGAATTTATAAACATGGCATTAAATATACTTTCAGTTTAAAAGATTCCCACTGTTAAACAAGCTATTGAAGGGACACAGAAGGGGGGAATTGACCATAGTTACTGGGCCCACTGGTTCTGGAAAAACCACCTTCATCAGCGAGCTGTCCCTGGACCTCTGCATACAGGGTGTAAGCCACATCCCACATTGATATAAAACTCCATTCCCATTGACACCATCAGTCTATGCAGATTGATTCAACTTTGTGGGGACTCTTGCTGAGTGCAATCAGCTTAACTGTATTTTACTCAATGCCGGGAGGAGGTGTGTTTAACTGTGTAACTGAAAGCATGTCCCCGCAGAGTTGGATTGATGGCGTCTGTGGGAATCCAATGAGCCCGTAGACCTCAAATATGTTTGTAATAAATTGACATTAAGAAACTGTACCCATTTGAGATGTTTCTTGGGAAGCAAGATTTGGGAAAGCATTCAATTCATTGAAACAAATGTTTCAGTAAACTGTTGTTAACAAAGTATTTTTTAAATGTTTTTTTTTTTTTTATGTCGTCAATTAATATAAACTTTTACTATATCTAGGTGAACACTCTATGGGGAAGTTTTGAAATCAAGAATGTACGTTTGATGAAAACAATGCTGATCCAGTTTGCAAGGCAGGTTGCAATTTTAGATTAAGTTAAATCAAACAAGCCTTAAAGATAATATCATGCTCATACAAAGTTCTCAATCAGAGCTTTACAAGCAAAAAAAAAATCAAGTATATATAAATGTTATGTGCTTCATGTAATGATTGAACACAAATTATCTGGCTTTTAATTTTTAGAAAAAACCTAGCCACTCACTTTGCAGAATTTGATAAATATGCTGACCAGTTTGAACAACTGCCAATGCATTTTATGGCATTCCATGGCCAGGAGAGTTTAAAAAGAGTTATAGATGTAAGTCCTCATTGTTTTGAGCATGTGTGTGGGAGTGCTTGAGTGTGCAGGTACTGTTTAAATTGAGACTATATAACTGTTGATGACTTTTCTTCGAAAAGGTAAAGTTTTTGCTCATCTATGTGGATACACAGTTCATGCTTATTTGTTTTAAAATACATGTCATTGATAATTAGATTAATGTACTTTTTTTAGAGTTCCTGTTCAGTTTATTAATCAAAAGCTTCAAATGGAGTAAATTTTTCAAATGTTTTTTGTATCTCCTCATTCCGGTAGCATGAGTTTCATTACAGACATCATTTAATTAAGACATCACTGACAAACACAATACATAGGTTGATTAATATTTGACCAGCAAAAGCTGCTTTTACTTTTCGATGAATACTGGTGAAATTTGAAGATGAAGTGTGACTTTTTGTATTCCAGACCATGGACCACGCTGTGTACGTCCATGACATCTCCCACATTATAGTGGACAACCTGCAGTTTATGATGGGAATGGGACAACTGGGGGACAGGAACCGCAATTTTGATAGGTTAACTCAACAGGATGAGGTGGTGGCTGCCTTTCGCCAGTTTGCAACTTCCAAAAACTGCCACGTGACCTTGGTCATTCATCCGAGAAAGGTAGGTGGAATGTGTCAGAGGGGAAGAAGCCAGGTTGAGTGTAGTCATAATTAAGCACGTGTTCATGTTCCTTGGTAGCCTCAGAGCCAGAAAAGATATACATGTATATTATGATAAAGGTAATGTATTGCTGACACCAACAGTTCAATTATGAAATATGTCATTTGTTCCATTTGGTGTAATACATGATTAAGATTTTTTTGTGAAGTTCTTATTTTCTCATTCAGTTGCTATTTGAGTTTTTGCACTTTAAACTTCTGTAGTAATATATGTAGTCAAGTTTCTGTTAAGGCATAAACAGATTTCTATTTCATTCTTTTATCCCTAGTTGTGGTTTAATTCCAGGAACCAAATGGAGAAGCCCTTCACATTGGGTCCATCTTTGGCAGTGCTAAGGCAAGTCAAGAGGCAGACAACATACTGCTGCTCCAGCTAGTAGAAAATATGAAAGTCACGACACAACCAAAAAAGTATATACAGGTAAGAGATTGGGGGGAAAATATGGTGATATTCTGTGTGCAAGTGATGTTATTTTCACATGCCCCAGCAATGCTGTGTCACAGAAGAACAACTAAGAAAATATGCACATATACAAGAAAATGGACACATATGCAAAAAAGTAGATGGAGAATATAGTGGGATTACCAGTGACATAACCTGAATATGCGGGTTTTTATATCTGTATTATGTTTATTGGTTCTTATATAAAAGTTCACAGACTAGTATGGCACAACACCAAGAGAATTGAACTGGTATAAACTACCATGCACTACAAAGACTTAAAATATGGACACATCAGCAGAAATAAATAAACGCAAGACCATGTGAAAAGTGCAGTAATATAGAAATGACCAAAGTATACTTTCATCTATGACATAAGGCTATTAAACTCACAATGCAAAAATGTAACCTGCTAACACTTTCTCTTACTATTACCGTGGTCTGAAAATAGATTTTTCTTGATGTCTTTTCTTGATTCAGATGTTTTTTTACTTATTGACTGTTAAGGCAAACCCAGAATGTTTGTGATGTTATCTAGGTTTGGCAACTGACAACTCACATTTCCCCCCAAGACCTGGCCATCTAGGCCACAGATGATAAATGCAGAGACTTTTGAAAAAGGCCCCATTTGTTGCATAATTTGTTTTGCAATAAGAGCATAAAGGAAAACAATAATCTGTTGAAATTTCTTTTTTTTAAAGGTGGCGAAAAATCGCTTTGATGGTGATTTGGGCAGCATGCTTCTGAAGTTTGACAAAGACTCCCTTAGTTTTGGGTCAAAACCATCTACAAGCAAACCATCTACAGAGGAAAATATACAGGAAACTATACAACCTAACAATCAATTACACAGTGAACATTCTGAAGAAGCATCTGATGAGGAACTTTAATTCCCAGAGTAGCATCACCTGTGACATATCATAAACACAAAGGACTCCACACAACAAACAAAATGCTGACATTTCAATGACAATTTTAAAGGTACAGTGGTAACCATAATGGTTCCTTCAGAATAATAGATTAACTCCAGATTTATTAACTCCACAAAATTTCAACATCTCGCAAGATCCCTTCTGTAGCCTGTTTTTATTTTTTTAAATATATCACTATTATTGTAACTTTGATGAACTGCCTTACTTCCTTTAATGAAATGGTAAGGAGGGCACTAAGTGGATACTAAGAAGAGAGTCCAAGTCCTAATAGTGTAAAATAGACTATAGCATTTCTTCCCGGTCAAGTACAATTTTGCTTTAACGTAAGGTTATTTTATGGTCAGAAAAGCAAGGTGATCAAAACTGTGATAGGAATAAACTTGTATTGCATAGTTCTTTTAGTCTGTTTAGATTAGAGGTAAAAGACCATACATGCCAAGGTGGTGTTTCAAAGATTATGAAAGGCTATTTAACAGATTTACTTTTCTGGTGTCCTGCTTTAAACTGTATTATTTTATACAATGGCATGGAATTTTAATGTGATTTAAGTGCAACAGTCACAGCAGTGTTTGATACTTTTGAGTGCAAGTTTTCAACAATTTTGTTACATTCACTGTACTTCTGACATTTTAATTGCAAGAATCTTTCTGTGGCAGTTTTTAAAATTATAATCTCTTCAAATTATTAATATAATAATGACTTTTTCAACAACCAGCCATGTGTCATGGTAAAAGACTCTTAAAATTGAACTCTTACTCAGATTCAATTGTTGTACCTCATTAATTATTTATCAAACAATGTTAAATTTTTCCCCGATGCATTTATTTAAACTCTGTTACATTTCCATCTCAGGATCATATGCATTTTAAACTCTGAGCCCGCACCTCTAGAAGTGAAATATCTACGTCTATATAATAGTAAATTGTTAACTTATTATCATAAAAATAAATAAGGAAGCAAATACTGTCAAGTGGACAGACAAATGTTATGTATTCTTTTTTCCCCACAAATGTCTCCTGTTACTCGGGCATCTATATCAGTCAAATGTTAAATTACTGACTCACACCTTGAAGATACGTTTTAAAATTAAAAATAAATAAAAAGATTCATAAAAACTACACAGCTTAATGAAAAATGATGCAATCGGGCCGATTTTGAATTCAAGCAGTGTTTTATCCCTATGAATCTTCTTCAAGATCTGAGAGTAAGCGGTTTTATCTTTAATTGTGTTTATGATAACGTTTTGCCAATAATTGTGCAATATAATAATGCTTAGGAACATAATCAATACCAGTTTTTAATTTCATTGTTCTGGTATTGTGGGCAATTGGAAATTTAATCTAGCACAGCACTTACGCCAAAATCCCAATTTGTGGGAAAAAAACCCCTTGAAATTACAAGAAAAATGATCCAGATGTATGTAAATGTTTTAGACCTAGTAGCACAAGCATACTCCTTGCGTCCATTGTTAATGTCATATCAGTGAAGTGTGATTCATTGTCCGTAATAATCAATAAACTGAAACAATGTAATATTTGCATTTGTATATTTATATTTATTTGCCCTTCTGCAAAATATATGAATATATTACATTTGAATGGTATATGTTTGAATGTTCATACTTTGCATACTTTTTTTCCATTGTACAAGATACGTTTATACAATATTTACAAGATTTCAGTCACGTGAAAAACTTTTTAAAACCTACAAATAAGTAGATACAATGACACAACCTTTACAAAAGAATATAAACTACCAACCCAAACATTTTGAGTTTTTTCCACACAACCCTGGGACTAGAAATAATTTTATAAATAATCTAGGGAACCTCTACACAGCAGTCAAACAGATAACATTTTTCATATTTGTACTTAATTAAACAATCTTGCAGTTTTGCAATTGTTACTGCCATAAATATTGCTACTGAACTTGTTTTTCTAAAATCTGCCATACTTTCTTTATTGCAAAGTCAACATACTCATGAACTAATCTCCGTGGGGATCTTTACCCTGACAACAACACACTGTGCTTGGTATGCATATCTAAAATCATTTCTAATGCATTATATAAATTAACTTGTAAAAATGTACACTTATACACGAAGGACCTTATGGATTCAATCCAATTTGTGGTGCTTTTCTCAGTCTCTTTATCACAACCAAAACACAGGCGATTCACCACCTTTAAAATACTGAGATTTCTGCAGCTAAAATAAAATATCACACAGCCTTTGAGTGTGGATAAAACCTTGAGAGAATAAATAACATCTCTCAAAGCTTGACACGCTGTTTATAACAGCACTTTTCTTTTTGGACGGACTTTGGAAGCATGTACTTGGTTCTCAGATTAAGACAAATTTCTCCAAATAAACAATTTTCAGTTCTGCTCCCAAATACATCCTGGAAATGGAGAGTTTAAACACAAAAATACTTTCGTAATATATGTGCCACTTTTGTGTAAACTCAAGTTCATTACTGGATCCAGTTCCTACATCTTTCCCTTGATATGTACAGTTTTTTTAAATTTGAGTACACTTTGATTTGTGACTTTGTTTTAAAAATACAAATAGTTCTAAAGTGAACCTGTATGAATAAAATGCAAGAAATGTGCCTGCATAATATGTGAAGGTGACCGTTTATAACGTTCATGATAACTTTCTTTCTTTGCTCAGTGCAGTTTTTGGTTATATATTTTGTTAGCTAGATATGTCTGTCCAAAATATTTAACTGACTCTAATAATCAAATTAGTGTTTCAATGTGTACTTCTGAACTACACCCTTCAGCATTTTGACGACTGCAGTACACGAGTCTTCTTTACCGGCTGTCGATCACTGTCTATGTAATACATCTGAACATTGCCGTTAGATTTTCCTTGCAAGAAAGCTGGCATAGTTGGTCTTGACCCCTGACTGGACACACTTTCATCAGTGTCACTATAGTCAGGTCTTTGAGTGGTGGACTGTATGTAACTCAATTCATATTTCTCTGCATACTCTGACCTGGTGTGATTTGGCGTTTGATTTGGCGACTGCCGATACCCTTGCCATGATTGGACATTTTTAGGACTCACTGCCATGTGGTTTGCATTGGACAACCTCTCATTACCCTGTGGTTCATGCTGTCTCCACGAATTATAGTCCATTTTACCTGTGTTATACTGAGGAGGAGTTGAAGTACTCCCTCTGGGAGATGGATAGCGCTCAAAGGAGCTGTTCTGTGTGTATGTCCCAGCAGTACTAGGCAAGGAGTCTCTACTATTGTTACTTTCCTCTTGCCCCTCTAGAATACTAGGAGGTCTGTGTATCACAGTCTGGGCTGACGAAGCGGAAGCAGATGAATACTGACTACTTGTACTGGTGGCACTACCTGGTCGGTTCTGTGGGGATGAGAACTGAGATGATGGTGACGCCATGGGTGAAGTGCGGCTGGGAGAACCTCGAGATGCTGTGTACCTCTGGGCGATGGGAGCTTTTGTTTGCGGTGAGGCAAACGTCCTCAGAGCTGGTGACCTCTGGTCTTGCCCCTCCCAGTCAGAGTCGCTGCTATCAGGCTGGACAAAGTTCAGTGGAGATTGCAATGGTTTCTGCTGGAAATAGCCATGTTGTGGTGACCTTGGTGACTGCCCCCTAGGTGACACTCCTCCATGAGGGTAAGGAGGTGGTAACCTGTGTCTGGGATATGGTGGAAGGTACGGTGGACGCATCCCAGAAGACAAAGGGCCATTCTGCTGAAATATTTTGGGAATGTTATTCAGGTCAAATTTCTCTGCGGGTTTTTCATTGTCCGTCATGTGCACGGTTTTCTTTTCTGCATATTTTATGCCATACTGGCTATCCTGCCTGTCTTGTTGGCCTCTTCCCTCCCCTATCTCATCATCAGCATCATTATCGTAAGGGACACCCCTGGGAGGGGGGAGGGGAGGAGGAGCAGCCTCAAAGTCTGCGGAATTATTATGATGCTGGTCATTGAAATGCACATGCTTTAAAATGGGTTTTGGTGGAGGGGGAGGCCTACTGGGCTTCAAACTGTGGGCTTCACTCAGGGGTGTTGACTCTCCATATTTAGGAGGTGGTGTACCTGGTGGGGTGTATCCCGTAATTTTTCTGGGCCCATTCAAGTTTCTGACCGAGTCCTGCCCATTGGCCGGTGCACTGACCCCCAGTGGTTTGGGTCTCCTTTCCTGACTGCGGCCATTGTCTGATGACCCGTCAGGATGACCACTACCCCTGCTGGATGCAGCAGAGGAGTCTGAAGATGTCCTTTTAGGGGCAAAAGGTCTGGCACTTGGTCTGTGTTGTTGTGAGATATTGGTCTGTTCTCTGTGATATGGGGAATCATCCACATTGATTTCGTGAAATTCCATCTCCATATCATCATGCTGCTGTGAGATCTGGGGGTTCTGTTGTATTGGTGTAGAAGTAGCTTGAGTTTGAGGAGCATCTGGCACAGGAGGGACAGGCATTGGGTTGGCCGCTTGCTCCTTCTTTAGTTCCTGTATACTCAGTCTTTGCATGTGCTCAACTGCTTGCCAATGCTGGTGGGTCTCGGCAAGAACTTTGTGGGCAAGCATTGTGGGGTCCGTTATCCCTAGTGGTTTGGTATCAGGATAACTGAGCTCAGAGCTTTTGTCAGAGGACAATGAGTCGGTCCTTTTGGGAGTGCTGAGAGTCTGGGGCTCATTGGTCAGCGTCCGGTCACTGGCACTGCTCTTGGTGGATGACCTGTGGCTCTTGAGGTCAAATGCCCTTTTGATACCACCCGATGACCCACTTTTGCCAGTCAGAGTACTACTACCCGAGGCTGCTGAGCTTCTCAGATTTGACTGTCTATTCAACCCTGTATAATCTGTCATGGGTGGAGGATTATAAGGCAATTCCTCCTCTGATGATTCATATTCCTCGTGATGAAGAGGAGCAGCAGCATTACTGTTATTAAGCATGGGATGAACCCCTCCACTTTCAGAAGCACTGGACGAGATGGAGCCGTTTTCATCTCTATGGTGCTGGACCTCAACGCCCAGAACTTTTGGCATGTTTTCTTGGTATTCCTGTGGTTTCTGTTGCAGGGATGTGGCACTGGGGCCACCATATCTGAAGGCATCTTCCACCTTTGCTGACATGTTTGGGGAGGTGAGACCATTTTTCTGCACAGGGCCGCCCCTGTACTGGCCCAGTCCTGGCTTGTTGCCTATCCCAGGTGAGAATCTCTGAAATCCGGGTAGATTTCGGCCAACTAATCCTCCCTGGAAAAGAAAAGATCAAATGTGTTTGTATTTGATTATTGTTAAATCCTGGCAGTATTTCAGGACTTTCCTTATTTTATTATCTAGTAGTTGAAAACATCAATTTGATCAAGTAGCCCCTGTTTAAAATAAGAGGTATCAGGTTCCACCCCAAGTAAACAAATTACACACTAATGTCAACATAGCATGCTATTTTGGCATGCTACAGTAAGTTTTAAAATGTTAAACTACCTGTGCTGTTTTCAACTTCTACATTCTGTTCTATATTATTGAAAAAAAAAAAAAAAAAACTAACCTGCTGCATAAGTTGCATCCTTGTTGAGGGATCCATGGTGTAGGCCCCAGTGGGAAACCTTCCTCTGCCGTGAGGAGAGTCAGGAGGGGTGCTGCCCTTGGAGAAGTTTGAAGTGGAGGTGGCAGACCCTGATGATGCCAAACTCTCCATGCTGCTAGAGCTGTCCAGTGAGAGGCTTCTTGGAGCTTCTTGAGTGTCTGAGAGAAAAAAATTATAAATTTTAGACAATCAAAACTGTCATCGAGTTTTTAGAGTGGAGAAATGGGCCTAGTGGAGACACAGGCCCAGATACAGAAAAATTAAGTTCCGACAAATACTGGTAGAAAAAAGACATAGTTTGCATCTTGTGCAATGCTGATGTATGGGCATTTGTCTAATAAAATGGTACATATTGAGGTATAAAATTAAAAGAGCTTACCGAGTACAGCAAGCAGAGCCTGCAGGGCACACTGGACTGTCCTCTTAGTGGCCTGCTTGCCTGGCTTGATGGTCACTTCATCCTTGCCTACATCTATCAGGTCAAAACCTACAGGAAAGAGAAACCATATCATACACGATGCTTGATGAAAAAAAACACAAAAATCATTGTATGCAACTTGTAGAAAATAATTTCATTAACCATTATTTTGATTATTTTCCTCAACTGTTTAACTTGATCAATGAACTGACACTATGGCAGCAGCTAAAATATACATGACCAATTAACTTATTCAGAATATGTTTCCTACATTTGGCTATTTTTATTGCATTAAATGTAAGAAGTTGTGTACCTATAGCAGCAAGGAACTCATGGCATCCAGGGACCCTCCATAACTTCACCCTCATTGTAACCTGAGCATTGCCATCCTTCTGAGAGAGTTTCCCATTAACATCTCTTAACTGAATAACAATTGCAATAAAATAAAGTTAAAAACATATCGTTGAAAAATTTTCCACTGAAACATAAATGCTTGTGTAAATCTGAAAATATTGGAACTAGGTTTAACAAATATCATGTAACAAGTTTAATAAATATCACAGCAGTCCTAGGGTTCTTATCTAGTTTGTAATAAAATAATTGCTTCAATTGTGCAAAGAAAATCATCTAATTTGAAATCTTACCAGTTGAATGATTGCTTCTCCTGCTTCATACTGGGACAACAACTTGGATAAGGGAATCAAACTGTTGACAGGAAGACCTGTAAGAAGTAGTGTAGTTCAATATTAGTGGAAAGTCCTATGAATAGCTTTTATCAATACTTGCCCTTTGTTCATGTTTATGTAATAGCAGTAAATAATAGCTAAACAATCAGAATGATTTACCTAAATATATTTCTGACAATATGACATTCCTAGCTAACATATTTTCATCATTTGTAAACAATATATTAAATAAATTCATGATAGGGGATCAAATTTACCTAGTAAAGCCTGCAAACTGGCACTGCACTGTGTCAAGCGCTCTCCAGGATCTGAGGTAGGAAAGAACACCGCTGGTGGAAGTCCATTGGCTGCTGGTTCAAAGCGGAATCCAATAGAGATCAGCAGATCTTTCCACCCGTGGATGTTGCAAACCTTGGTCTCTATGCTCTGCTGGGTGGTATACATGGCATTCTTCTGACCACGATGGATTCTCTGTAGAGATTTCTCAACCTGCAACAGACAAAGATGAACGAGTTACATAAAACCCAATACCTAAAATACCTAAAATTTTTAATATCTAAAATGCATTCTGGATTTTTTTTATAAGATGAAATTCCTTATCATTATGAAGATTATCCTTTCCATTTTATATTTCTCTATCTATTGATGTAAAGAAATACATTTAGTTTTTGGTTAAAAAAAATTTTTTTTTAAGGGTGCACATTTTGACTATGTACCAAGCATCAGATGAAACAACACACAAAAATGTAGCAGCTATTACAAACTATCATGAAAACTTATAAAACTCACCAAATGCAACAACACCCTCATGGCCTCTCTGCACTTATTAGGATGCTGAAGAATTTCGTAGAAGGCATGGCCCATCAGCGCCACCTTGCTGCTGAGTTTGACATCACTACCAACCATCACCCAGCCACCCCAACTAGACGGATGTGTATACTGCTTTGTGGTTTGTACAGTCCTCATGGCTTCTGATATTGCCTTACTGGCCTGGTAGCCCTGCAGCATGGATGTGTAAAAAGATCTCATGAAGATCTTCGAGGCCTCAGCCGGTACTGGCCATAATGAGAATACAACACACTGAGCTCCAGCAGCTAGAAAAGCACGAGTGAGGCCAACTACGCCATCTGAGTTGATCCGACCTGCTCTGTCATCTGTGTGGCCCGAGTTTAGCACGACAAGTTTGGCATTGAGTTTGATGTTCAGGACATCCGCTGCAGTCAGGAGGAATTCTGGCAAGGATGGTCCGTCCATGGTACTGCTGATATCGCTACCGCTGTCATCATGGAAACGGTCAGTCCTGTGCTCTGGAGTGAACTCCCCAGGAGACAAAACAACTGAGGACAATTTCCAGGACACATGGGTTGCAAAATGCATGACCTCCGACTTGGGCATGTGATGGAGGACTGCCTCTTTCGTAGCTGCGTGGCTTGTAAGGGGCTTGGCTCCCATCATTTCTGCGATGATCTTGGCTTCTTGTTCTGCTGAAGGGAGCTCTGACCATTGCCATTGCTCCTTGATGCTGATGGGTAAGGCAGGGTTGCCGACTATGAGAGACCCGGTGGCTTCAAGCCCCAGTCTGGTGAGCCTGACACTGCCCTGATTTCCCTGCAAGGCTGTGAGTGAGGGAACAGCCACCAGGTTGAATTTCTCATATAAGTAGCTGTTAGCCTGACTGTTTTTCAATACTGCAAATGGTACGAGGTATAAGTCTCCCTGAAGGACTAGCACAATTTCCTTCTTGTGGGTGTGACTCGAGTGAGATGAGTGGGACGATTGGGATAACTGGCTGTCCAAATCGTCAGCTGAGGGCGGCAGGGAGTCTTCAATGGGAGCAATGAGGAGATCGTACAAGGCACTTAATGGTGGCTTTCCAGACCAGCCACGACTGCTTTTCCGTAGGCTGTTTCCTCGATTCATGTTCAGTCCATTGATTGAGCCACTGAAGCTGAACAGACTACTGAGGCTATAATTACTGGCATTGAAGACGTGGTTCCTGTTGACCATGCGCAGGAATCCCGTGCGGTCATTTTCAGCGTTTAATTTGCCACCAATTTCCTCTAGTTGCTGCTGCCACATTTCATCAGCATCGCTCTCGTTCTCACTCATCATGCTTGATGACCGGCTGGTAGACAATCTGAAAAAAGATTATATCATTTGATATAAGGTATTAAACTTCAAGACTTTCTTCAAACCTCTGTTCCCAACCTTTGATGCTATATCTATCAAGTTGATTACTTGCCAGGTTATATCATAAAATACATCTCAAATTTTTTTGAAGGTGATTCATAAAAGTCGACTTTTTTTGGTGAACACATACACGGAGAATGTAGAGGCAAAAGTGAATCTTGCCAACATGAAAGAAATGAATAAAACGTCGAGAATTGCCGTGCTAATGGATGTAATTGTGCCACATTACATATCAAAGGTTTATGAAGTGTGAGAAAGGAGTAAGAACAGGAAACCAAAAGCAATTCACATGTCCATTCTGATATTAACATGCAAGGAAAAGGAAATCATACAACATGAAAGGTCCAAATTAGTGATGTACCAACACAAGTCCACGAGTACTATTAATTTTACTGCTAGGGAACCACGGTTGTAAAACTAATACAGTCCATAAAAAATGGTCATGTGGAGGGCAAAGTGCAGGAACAATAGGAGTACCTCTATGTGACACAACTTAGTACTTTCAACTTCCTCACTCTATTTCTTAAGGCTTTGTGATTTGATGCTTAGGAAACAAGTTTCAACATCTAAAACTGTACCCTGAGTAAAATTACAAACTTCCTGTTTAAAATTATGCCATTCTGGTTTACGGCTTTGTATACGTTTTCATTGTAACATATGAGCCATTAAACATGGTTTACAAACTTACCTTAAGCTGCTATTGGATAGGTGGCTCTCTATTCCCAGGGACTCTCTTACCCCTCCTACATACTGATCTAGCAGTGAAGTACTGGACATATTCAGTGACTGTGTGTCTGCATCCACTTCATCTACTGACCCAGTGTCTGCCTCGTTGATGTTCTTTTCATAGAACTTGACTATTCCTGAACCAAAAGTTTAACAAGATGAAAGCGCTGCTGCAAGATTGTTTTTTCAATGAATAGCATATTTCTCTCTCTCTCTCTCTCTCTCTCTCTCTCTCTGTTTTTAAGGAAATGCATACTGTAAGGTATTCCACATACATATCTTTGCCACTTGAATAGTATATAGCATAAATAGCATAAAGCAAATTTATTTAAAGAAAAATAAAACAGGTTTTTGGCACTGCATGATGAAAAATAAATATAAAATACAATAGTGATTCATCAGTTACTGTACATAATTTATATCCAAGGATGCTTTCGAACATGGGGACTCCATTTTATCATTTACCAAGTAAAAAGGACTTACCCTTTTCTGGGCTGAGCACCCAACAATACAAGTAGCCAGCAGCAATGGAATAGTAGACCACAGTGGCTTTTTGCCTGCTGACAATATGGAGGATCTGCTCCACTGTCATAGGAGTATTGTCCACATACATGCCCTCCCCTCCCGTCTGTCTCTCTAGGAGCAGGTCAACAAAGGCACGCGTTCTACCTCGTTCAGCCACTACCAAAGCCTCTTCGTGTCTTCCAAGTGCCACGAGAACACGCTGAAATAATTTTTAGAAAATTCAAGTCATATATCCATGTTGTTGCTCAAGGAGGGATTCAATGAAGAAAAATATCCTGTTCACACATGGACTATCTTAGGTCAGATTGAGCCCAACTTCTGAAGATAACCAGCTTGCTTAAGACTATTTAATTTAATGCTATCTGCACTGAATGATAAGGACACCTCAAAGTTAATGATATCTATGAGATGGAAAACATATTTCCAAACATACCTTAAACCCATCCAATATAATTTTGACAGACATAAGACAACTACAGATTTAGCTAATTTTGACCTCAACTACTTCAGCCCTAGTTTTAAATCAACAATGATAATGACCATAACAAATGATTCTTCACTAATCAATCCAAAATGACAATATACTTACTGAGGTCAACAACCCTTATACTGACAGGACATTTACTTTTTCCATTAATCCCTAACCTTTTTATTGTTTGCAAAACATATAAACACAAATGAAAGACAGAAGTCACTTTGGTAAAAAAAAAAAAAGTGGTGAGCATTATCCTATGTACACTACTTCAACCCCAGAGATTGTTAATGGTTTGTTCTATGGGGATCACATTTCCATTTTTACCTGCAGGGCTTGATAGGAGGCGGTCTGTAGGTCAAACAGGGACAGTTTATAGTCACTGCTCATCTGCGCCTCCCTCCTGATGTTCTCAAACAGTTCCGCGGCCCTGTACAGCTGCTGTTGTGCTTCTTCCATGTCTTCGTGGCCCCACAAAGCCAGACCAAGGCGATGGCGGATCTTTGCCTCGTCTTCTTTCCGGCCGAGCTGTTCGGCAATTTGTAGCCCTTGCTGGAGATATTGCACGGCTTGAGGGTAGTGGCCCAAAGCATGGTGCACACGACCTTGAAGAGTAAGAAACAATGGGGTAATAAAACCTTCCTGAATCCTGTGCTAATGAATACTCTAATGCATGTCCTATTGTCATATCATCATCATCGTAAACTTTATATCACTTCAAAGCTCGTGTTATGATCATAAACTTCATATTTCTTCTAGGTTGGACATTAAGAAGAAAAAATCTTCTGGTTTAGAACCAAGTAACAATTGTGCCAGTCAGCTAAAACATGCAATCAAGACACCTGTTTGCATTACAGAAGAAAACCAACTTTCTGCATGAAGTAATGCAATCCACTGATCAAATTTCTGAGTTAAACTGGTATGTCTAAAAGCCACACCACAATGAGTAAAATATGATTTTAAGAAAGAATTTTTGAGAAACACCCCAATTTTCAAAACCCTAATATTAACTAAGTTATCTTTAGTCCAGGCAATTCACTGTTCTGATATTCTGAAACTTAACGTGATCTAAAATGACTTCATTATAAGCAATTTTCTAAAAAAAATCTCAATAAGATGCATGTCTCATCACCTATTCACATACTCCATAAATAATAGATCCAATTAGGCTCAAAGATATGACATTTTTGTAGATTAACTACATAGCTCAGATGATCAAGTAATTTCCCATAAGCTGTGGATTATGAATGCTACTCTTATTGATTTTACTGTTAGAAATGTTCATGTTGGAATTATATGGCAAGGTAATTCTATGGAATACTACGGATCCATAAATAATTGACTATTCTGCGTACAATTACTGAGCAGAAAACCTGAAATGTCTTGATTGTATGAAACTTATTGTGAAATTTTAACACTCTCAAAAAAGAAGCAATAATTACTTAGCACACGCCAATTCCTTTATTCCACATTCAAATACTTAATGATAATCATCCAGGCATTGCAAACCTTTTTTCAATCATCGTTCTTCCATTTTTCCGAACCAGATGATCACAACAATCTTGTGCCCTATAAAATTTTCTTTGAAGCTTACTCAAGTATCTGTTTATATCACTCCAAGTAAATCCTACTCATTTCAACCAAATAGATCAGCTACTTATTAGATTATGAAGAAATTGCCCTGGGAATTACAATTTGGCTTACCTAAACTGCTGAAGGCCAGTGTCTTTGCCACCTTATCATTCATCTGTGCTGCGAGGCTGAGGTGTTGCTCCTGGTAAGCGATGGCTTGCTCAAAGTTACCCAGAGATTCGTGGGAAAGTCCAAGGTTGCCAAAGGCACGGCCTGGAAAAAAATGAAGGCAGAGTTATATACACGCTGAATTTGCTTAAGGATTTCAGTACTGAAATTCAAAATCATTTATGGTCTTATAAATTTCAAAGTTGTTCAACTTGCCAACAAGGCATGCCCTTAGATATATCACATCATGCGTATATTTGACATGAAGAAAAGGATTATATTAAGTTAATTTAACCTGAAATAACAAAGGGAAATCTTAAATACAAGCCAGATATTTTTTCTAAATATTCATTTCACAGAAGTCCCATAATCATCTTAATATTTATGAAAATTTGTCAAGAGCATTGACCACAAAAGTGCATGAGCGTCAAAGGCTGTAAAACTGAAGAAGATTTGCATATGGCCACTCACACAAGTGAGAGGCAACAAACAAAATGGTCTTTTTCACACCACAAATAGGCTGTAATTTAACAAAGAGGTTCACAAAGAGGTTCATCACTTGAGGTAAATTTTGATCTCAAAATAACTTTTTTTTATTTAGGTGCTGCACTTAAACCATCTTAGACAAAGTTTTGTATCATTTTTAATTAAATAACTTAGTGCTTAAGGAATCAGGATTCATTTAGAACGCTATGGTCTTCGTCGCATTAAAGAAGAAAATACTGACATTGGGTACTTTATTGGAGGTTTATTGTTTAAGGTCTGGATTGGAAAAGATAAATAGCTTTACAGGATATTCAGACATTAAAATTTACTTTGGGACATTTTCTAATGCGTATAGCATACCTTTAAAAAGATATTTATCAGTGAATTGCATGCATTAGACTTAGCATTATTTATAGACGGAAGTCTGAAAATAAGCCAAAACACAGAACACTTAAATTCGTCTAATGTGGTGCTTTATTACGCCAATTTGACAAAATGCCATGTTCGGGGGAACATTACAAGCCATAAGGCTAGGTCGATCAGCGCACCATATGAAAATCTAAAATTTTGTCAAGCAGAATTTTAAAAAGAATTTCTACATGTTTCACACACCCTGCCCTTTCAACACCAATCATGGCTGAATGCCTATCAGGTGTCACCAGTGGGAGTTAGTGCTGTAAATCAACTGCCAACGGGCATGGAGTCAAAACCACTAAAATTGTCAACAAAATTCAACGGAAAAGAAGGTAATTAAATAAAGTTACTTTATAGCCTAAAGGCCTGGAAGTCACCAGTATTGCACTGCCTGCAGGCAATGCTGATACCTTCAAGGTAAAAAAAACAACTCAAAAAGACATTTTAAAAAGTACCTTAAAACCAACTTTATTGCCCTGAAGGCAAAAGTCGCAAACATCAACTCCCAGTTGGTCAATGTTTAGGGACTCAAAGGTTGGTTTTGTGTACTTCTTTGCCAAACAGCTCACACACTTTTTGCATTATTTTGTAATGTTATTCGGAAAAATGGATTGACACTGCTACTCGTGGTCGTACCCCCCACCTACCTTGGTATTCCATTTAACAAACCACTACAGTCAATTTCATTCAAAACTGATAAATCTACCCCCCATCTGTATGTTGACATATAATGTGATGAAATTTATAAATTCCTAACTGGTTATTTTACAACACATTTGCATGCCATCATGGATTTCCATTTCAACTACTTTTTTTAAAATATAGGGTGTAAAGAATTCATCTGACAAGTCTAAATTGATGGAATTTCAAGAACCAACTACTTTGTTAGTAATTTTCTTAACCACAAATTAGTACACAAAAGGGAAAGTAAATGAATATTTTTCCAAACAACAAATAACAAATCTACTTACATTGACATGCAGTGTTGTTGGACTCCTCTGCTATATCCAAGTCCATCTTGTGATAGGTCAGCGCACTGTCGTACTCTCCCATCTGCTGGTAGACCCCTCCCAGTCCACATGCTGCGTCACCCTCTCCCACTTTGTCTTTCATTTCCTGTGCGATCTTCAGCTGATGCTCCAGGCAGGAGATGGCCTGCTCAAAATTACCCAGAAGGCTGTGCAGGCAACCTAGCTCCCCGTAGGCTGAACCCCTGGCTGTGGGGTTGTCCAACTCATGAGCAACCACCAGTCTCTTCTCGAAGCAAACCAGGGACTGTTGGAGATTTCCCATTGCCCTGTGTGCATTGCCCAGTCCCCGGTAGGCCTTCTCCTGGTCAGCGGCATTATTTAAGCTTTGTCCAATGGAGAGAAATTGTTCATGACATTTGACCGCTTCCTCAAAGTCGCCCAGGGCTTCGTAGCAGTCCCCTAGGTTGCCATAGGCGCGGCCACGATCAGAAGTGGCACTGACACCTGAGACTTGTTCCAGCATGGCTAGTTGTTGTTCAAATAGTCCTATTGCATCGTCAAAGTGACCCATGTTCATTTTTGTAATTCCTAGATTTCCGTAGGCTTGGGCTTCAATGGCACTGTCCTGAAAATCTCTTGCACGGTCCAATTGTTCCTCGTAACATTTGTAGGCATTTGTGTAACTCCCTAATGACATGTGAACATTGCCTAAGTGACCATGGGCACGACATTCACCTTTGACATCATTCATCTCCTGTCGAATTGTCAACTCCTGTGTGTGATACCCCAGGGCCTTATCACACTCCCCAAGGATTCTGTGAGCAGACCCCAATGCACAAAAAGCACTGGCTTCCAGATTCTTATCCCCTGCCTGCTTGGCTAGTTTAAGTTGCTGGTTGTACATTTTGATTGCTTCAGCAGCATTGCCCATTTTGATTAGCACATCGCCAATGTTTCCCAAGGCACGAAATTTCCCAGTCAGGTTCTTACCTTGGTGGGTTATCACAAGGAAATTATTTTGACATTCTAGAGCCTGGGAGAAGTCTCCTAGGGCTTTGTGTGCCAGACCTAGATTACAGTATGCCCTGCCCATGGCATTTTTGTCCTGGGAATCCTTAGCAATAGCCAAGTCTTGTTCATAATACCGCACAGCCTCTCGGAAATTTCCTAGGTTAAAATGTGCATATCCGAGATTATGGCAAGCTTTGCCCTCACCGTCAGTGTCCTGGAGTTCTTGAGACAGCGTCAGGAAATGCTGGTAAAATGGAATGGACTGAGAGTATTCTCCACGCGAGCTGTGGTAATTTCCAAGATTACTGAGGGCTCTTGCCTCGGAAACTGTGTCTTTCAGCTCTTGGGAGATTGCAAGATGAGCATGGTAGTGCTGCAATGCTTGTTCGTACATTTTCAATGCCTGATATGCCACCGCTAAATTTCCGTGTGTTGCTGCCTCAGAATGCCTGTCATTCACCTCACGTGATATTGAAAGCTCCTGCTTGTGATATTTTACTGACAAGTCATATTTTCCCAGCGCATAGTATGCATTTCCTATGTTCCCATAGGCCCGGCCTTGACTGGCACGGTCTCCTAATTCTTTGGCATTATTGAGATGTGCCTTGTGAAGTTTCAGCGCAGCATCATACTCTCCTACACTTTGGAATATGATACCCAAGTTCGAACATGCTCTGCCTTCAGCAACTTTGTCTTTAGTATGGAGAGCATTATCCAATTGTTTTTCATGGTATTCCTTGGACTGGCCCAGATCTCCTTTCGCACGTGCAGCATGCCCAAGACCTGCATACGCACGTGCCTCTAAAGTCTTATCTGTCAGCTCCGTGGCTATTGTCAATACCTGATTGTGAAAGGCTATGCCTTTGTCATATTCCCTTTTGTAGTGGTATGCACTGCCCAAGTTGCTATAACTCCTAGCCTCTTCGTACTTATTGTCTAGCTGCTTGGCAATGCGCAAGTGTTCATTGTGACACTCTACAGCATTCTCAAATTCCCCAAGAGCCAGATAGACTGCACCCACATTTCCAATCTCTCTTGCCTCCATGAGTCTGTCATTCATCTGTTTCACCAGCAGCACGCATTGTTTATGACTAGCCAAGGCATTTGGGTAATCTCCAATGGCAGTATATACGTGTCCTAGGTTACTGAGAGCTGACGCCGCTGTTCTGCGATCTTTGAGTCGCATTGCTAGGACCAACTGAAACCGGTGATTGGTTAAGGCTTCCCTGTAGTTGCCTTTTGAGAAATAAGACGAGCCTAAGTTTCCATGTGCTCTGCATTCGCCCTCTTGATCACCTGAGGGAGGAAAAAAGAAACATTTTTATGAGTTCAGAGTTTTTTTTTTCCTTTTGTTAATTCACAGTGCGTATAAAGGGAAACCAAGTGTTTGGGTAATTGTACACTTCGATAGTGATGTAAACAACCTTTTAATCCCTAAATAAAACAGAGCCTCATTCTAAATTTCCCAAATCATGAATGATAGAATGCTGCTTATTTTGACATATTCTGACACTCATTTTTTTTTCATGCTCTTTCAACAGTCTTACTTAGTCATAGTTATTTAGCTACATAACATGTAACATCCACTGTAGGTCAACTGAAACATGCTTGGAATGGATTTAGCAGACTAATTTGTTCAAAGTGACAAATTAACAGCTCAAGCAACTTGGTAAATTTGCCTGCATCTACTAACAGCTGGATTCAGACTTGCAAACACACATTAGGTAATCATGTGCACACTCCGATTCCCCAATCTTACCAACCGACACTAGTTAGAAATCTTTTTCTTATTAGTACATATATAAACAAATTTCTTTTATTGTTAAAGTAGGGGATAAAAATATAACAACAAAAATGCTACAGGGCAAACAATACATTTAGGCAACCATAGTTTTGACTGATCTCCAAAATCTGCCAAAAAATTATGGGTCTGCCACTGTGTAAGTACTGACCCCATTATTAAAAAAAAAAAAAAAAAAAAAAAACCATCTATGTCTTACCTAAGGACTTGGCAATGTTAAGATCTTGTTGCATGTAAGAGATTGCCTTGTCAATATTTCCCAGAGCCCAGTGAGAACTGCTGAGTGCAGAGAATACAGATCCCCGCAGTTTCAGACTACAGGTGCCGATCTTCAGGGCGGATTCTAACACAACCATTGAAGCTCCTGGGAAGTTGGCGGCAAGCAGCTCTTGACCAATGAGTGAAATTATAACAAAAGGACTCTTGTCCAGTTTCATCTTCTGTAGTTGGCAGAAAGTTGGCTCAAACTTTTCTGAAATAAGAAAAGTAAAGTTTTAATACTATAATTTAGGACTTGAGGAAAGCAAAAGATTATCAAAACTTCCTTTTTAAATACAGTCAGTGGTTCTACATTTACCCACTGCAAGAACTTTAATTATAAAACTACTTTCTAAATAATTGTTCAGAATGGCAAATTATATAAAAATTGCTAATCATATTTTTAAACTTTTTTTTAAATAAAATTCTCATGCTAAATATTTGTTAAGGCTTTCTTTTTGCATAATATGGCATAAAATACATAATGCTTTTATACTGTATGTCATCAAATAATGATATAGATTATGGTGAATCTGAGAGTCACCTTTGTTGTGCAAATATATTACAAAGAAAAAACGTTTTAATATTCTGTCCAGCATGGGAAAAATCTGTCACAGGGTTAGGACCCCATTACACATTTTTAAGATTTATACAATAACTAAAGATGGGTGCTTAATATTTTTCTATTTACCTTTGATCGGGGACTTGAGGGCGGCTTCAATAAGTCCTAGCAGCAGTTGGGAGTTCTTGGGGTCCTGAGCCAGTCCAGAGGCAAAGGCGGCCAGGGCATCTGCAGGCCGCTCCATACACTGCAGTGCCACCCCTTCTCTGTAGTAACCCTAAGGAGAGAGAGGAAAATATAGGTTTATAACATGGGATTTTTATCATATATCATAATCTGAAAAAGACATTCAGTGCAAAGTGTCGTTTTACCACAGTGAAAAAAACTTCAGATGAAAAAAGTAGAGAGACTTTATAAATAGATGCAAATACATAAGTACTAGTACTCGTTTATGGTTTGCATCACACTTCTGAACTGGGCCAAGAACTTTATTCTCTCATTACACTGGGATTCTGTTCTGCTCCAGTACAACACTTTCGTACAGCACTCGATAAACTCTGCAAATGAAGTTAATAAACTGGCTGCGTATGCAAACTCGAGCAAAGATCAGCAATGTCGATATCTGAGACTTTAGACAAATTCCGCATTGCCAATGAGATTTCGAATTGTTTGCATCAATCTACACATATCTGGGAGTTGACATTATGTATGAGAAACCACATTTTGCCAAAGAGTCACCCTTGGCACTTGAATGTAGAAATAATGGGGGCACCGTATGTCTGAGTGGTGTCTGTCAGTGTATATGCATACTAATGTTCTCTCACTCTCAGCCGTGAGTTTGTACCTTTGTGTGATTTTTATGGCTGTATGAGAATGTGAAGGCATCCTGTTCCCTTGTATTCAAAGCATTTTATGTGCTAAAAGTCAGCTAAAACCATAGTAAATCAAATATTTGAGAAGATTGTTTTGCCCCCATATTTTAAATCAAAACAAACTTATGCCATTAATGGGGCAGAAACACTACTGCTTCCTCCTGATTTTATTTCTTTATTACTAAAATACCTGACCAGGATTTAGATATATGAGAAAGTGGCTGTAAACATACTTTTTTGTTAACACATTTCATAATCTAGACATTTCATGTGACACCAACTTGGACAGAAGCTTATATCATTTTGTATGGTCCTTCTTGCTAGAAATGTCATGATGTTATGTCAACTTTCTCTTTACACAAAAATTTAACATTAATATCAAGAATTCCCTATTCTTTTTAAAAACTGCATTTCTACAAAATAATATGCATGTCCTCTCCTCACACACACATGCACACACACACATGCACACACACACATGCACACACACACATGCACGCACACACACACACACAATTCCTCAATTCAATTTTAACATGAAAACTGAACGTTTTATCTGACCAATGACATTAAAAACAGACGATTGTTCTACATGTACATTCATCATTAATTTTCTACAGTTCACTTCCCATACCAACTAACCTAACAAGTTTCATCAGCCGCAAAGATCTATTTTTATTTACCTCCCATCAGATAAGACATGTCCAGGACTACTTAATGAAGTTTTTTGCTAGATATATAGTTGTAGATACCTCTAGTTTAACAGCATGTCCGTAGGCCATCATTTTATAATCCAGATTGTAATCAAGCCATCAGTGAGTGTTCTTTGTTTCCACCAGCTTTGTGTATAAGCCCCAATGCCAAGCCTACCTAGCTATACAACACATAGGGTCATGCTGCAGGTAGAAATGCTACCGCTTCGAACACAGCATGCAAATTAATTTAGTCATTATAACCTGGCGGGCATTACTGTCTGGCTTAATGTCCATCTTTAATCCATTTCATGCAGGTACTGCGTCACAGCAACCTGTTTGGAATGGAAACCTTTTTTTGTCGTTTGGTTGAATGTGAGATGCCACCATCTTTGACAGGGAGTTTATTAATTTGTGTCCTGTATGTCATTATCCTGGTGTCTTTTTCAATGTTACGGTTTACATAAAAAGCATCATTCATTTTTCGTAACCAATTTTACTTCTTATACATGGTTATTCACAAAACAGGGAGGGGATTCTCCCAGCACATTATATATTTATGCATATAATTTCCATATTTTTCCTTTGATATTTCAAATAATGACAATCCCCATATACCAAGTTTTACTTAGTGATTTTAAAGACAAAAAGATTGTGCCACGTTGACACAAAAGACAGCCATGAAACAGATGTAATTTTGATAGTTTTCAAAACTTAACTTTCAAAAATTGCCTTCACTATTATTTTCAATTACTTTTGACCTTGATGACTTTAATTTCAAACAATGAACATGAAACAAAAAGGTCTTGATATGAAAATCCCTAAAGTCAGGTTTGACATTTAACTTGTCACCATTTTTTCCTAATGACACCTGATCAATGCAATTCATCCTTGCATCTCGCTATGATGTAACAACCTCCCTCATTATATGTAATACAGATCAAGCAGCGATCCTGTCTGTATCAATCTGTCCGATAGGCCCAACAATTTACCCAAGAGCTCAAAGTTGGACATATTTATTGTTCGCTGCTGTCAAGAACCGTTATTAACAAGGCGCTGGTGTTGATATGGGACGAGATTATCTGCACTGAGATTATGATGAGGTAATTGGTGTTATCTCAGCCAATCAGAGTCAGCCCAGACATTCAGGGAGGTTTGAATAGGGGGTTTACATTAGAATAACAAAGCTCCCTTTTCAGACAGCTATTCCAGGCATGTCCATGTTGGCAAATAAAGATTAAAACAAACATGGCTTTGAACAAGAAAAGATGTAAATGACATGTCTTTTTCTGTGCATGCTTCATTGCTTTTACTAATCAACTTGGTCCTCCCAAAGCCTCGCAAATCCATCCATGCATGTCAGATGACTGAGGCTATTTTTTATTCAACGGGTAGAAAATTGTAGACTTTGTTCCCTAGCAGTTCAACTCGATTGGTTAGGTTCACCTCCATTCCTGAGCTAATGGCGACCTCTGCCACCGTCAGGAAGTGAGTCTCACGGCAACCAATTTTTACAAACGTCAACAAATATTTTCCTAGCCCACCAGGACAAAAAGTCACCAGCAAAAAGTGGCTCCTGGTCCCTCAAGGGCTAAATTTACCTGAGATTACTGGTTATAATATTATAGCTTTCATATTGATTGCACAAAGACTACCGTTCTGGACCTCTGCCAAAAGCAACAAGTTTATTCTTTTGCTTATGCAGAAGACTTTTCTGCACTACTCCGAGCTACAGTTAGAAATACCAGATTTAATTTCACCTCTTCATAAAAATTACTGGTGCTTGCGTTCCTACCTTCCTCCAAGGCCATCCTATTTGAATATTAACTGACGTACATTCCAAACCATGATTTTGTCACATAATCTATCGATATGATACCCCATTATGAATTATATGAATACTCCATTTAAGCTGCTGTCTTTATATTCGAATCCAGTGCCCCCTTTTTGACCTTCCTCTAAGGTATCATTTTATTATAATTCTAAAGAATCTTCAGCGTACTAAACTGAAAAAAAAGTGCACTCGTTTCTTCTTGCAGCCAAACTAATTAAGATTTTGAGGCATTACTGATTTAGTACTTTCACACCCAATGCACTGTATAACATTTCAAGGATGTCTGCATGGTTCACTTAATTTTATGATTAATGTAAGGAATTTTAACTGCTCTTTAACATTACATTACCAGGCAATAACTAACAGATTACTAACACTTTATATTGATAGCAATATTCAGTATGCCAAACAAAAACCTGCCAACTTCTGAAAATGAAAAAACAAAACAAACATTGCTTTAGAAGTTTTCAATTCAGTACCCTTTTCTGCATTAAATTTAATTGACAGGAAGATAATCTGCAATCAAATATTGGCTCAACAGAAAAGTTACGAACAACTGGTTGAAATATGTCTACAGACATAAAATATATTTATATTAACCTATTTATGACATATATCTCAATGGTTTTACCATTTCAGGTGTGACAAAATAACAAAGGACAAATATTTTAAGCCAAGATACATAGAATGGGCATGTGTGTAGTATACTTATTTCTCAATGACAGAATGAATCCAACAGGCACTGGCAAAGAATTTCCACTGATAACATTCAAGTCAAACCCTGCTCTGACATAGAAAAACTATTACTGCATTAACAATGCTATGTTGACAAGGAAGTAATCCAAAATACAGACATGACAGTTCCAGGGGAAGATCCATCTCTCAAAAGCACATCTTTTTAAGCCTAGGGCATATGGTCAAGACAAAATTGAAACCTGCAGTGATGATTTCCTGTGTTAGGAAGGTGCAGAAGACTCGGGTAAACGGTGTCAAAACAAACGAGATATAAATGACACAGGTTAATATTCAGTGACACTGAAGTTAAGTCCCGAGTCAATTAATCAAGAAAGACACGACTGAACATCCCAGACAGTAATCAGTGATGACATAAAAGGAAGAGGCATGACCTAAATAATTCTAGTTATATAATAACATGTATGATTGTGAGAAAAAAAAGCCTGCTCATAAAAGATTTTCATTTGCACAAAGCAGAAAAGGCTGACTTTAGAACTTTATGGATTTATTACACAGATGAGGGTATCGTGAGAAACAAGTATCTGCCAGGCGAGAATTACAAACTATTGTTGTGATAACAAAAACCAACATTCGTAAATAAATAATCCATCAATAATAACATAACTGGGAAAAAAATTCACATGCACACAATATTTGTAGACATAAATAGTTAATAGAAAGAGAACAGAGCTGACCTACAAATTGCAAACAGCACACAAAGAAGCATCATAGTTTTAATAGGAATAATATCATTTCGCAGTCCATGGAATGGCACTGACTCCATGTTAATAACTTATCCAGGATATAAACAAGACCACTGACTGATGTACAGCAAAGAATCAATTAAACTATTTTGGGCAAAGATACAAAAGACACCAATGCAAATAGCTTGGTCATGCCAGACATCAGTTTATGTAACCTGCTATTGAATTGGAGGATAGGAGTCATGAGCTGACCGTGCCAAAATACTTGTTTAAATGTTTGTTTTTACTTATATATATCAAGAGTAGCTAAAATAAAAACTGATAATCACTTGGGCATAAGGTGGGTTATGCAAAAAATGTAATCATTATCTGACAGTGACACTTAATTGCAGTGACACATTACAGGCAAAGTTGTCCCATAAATGACACAGGAATGACACTAGAACCACTGTTAGTTCTCTACAAATGGTCACAATATTACTGCTTCAATTACATGACCAATGACAAGAAAAGAGAATGAAGATGGCGCAGTACAAACAATAGCGACCCTGTCCATGCTATCCATGCATGGACACAATATTGCTACAATTACACTACACCAATGACACATAATACAAGCGGTCTGTCTTTCTCTATTCTCCAATATTACTACAATTACACAGCCAATGACATGGGACAGATGGATACACAGGTGATAATGTCACCGACTCCACGGGGGCCTGGAATGACACAGGGCTAACCTCAAATAGATTTCAACAGACCACAAGTTAAAGGACCTCTTCGTCCACACACAATAAACTGCTTTGACATATGAGCCAGCGCCAGAGTAATGGAACAAAGCATGCATGACTGCATGAAACTAGCCGACACAAACATATTCTGTTATCGCAAAGTGGCCACTTATTAATTCCCCTCATCCTGCATGTATGAATGTTTTGTTGAGGATTTCCTATCTGCTGGACTTCTTTCCTTTCACTAATGCACATCTATCTATTTTGGGACATTTTCAAAAGTGAACTAGGGAAAGGGCCGCATCTTATTTTAGGGGCACACAGATTGAAGTGCAGGGTGTCCATTTCCCAGGATGTATGAAAAGCGGACTGTTATGCTGTTATGCTTAGAATCCACTTGCTTAATTTCAATCAGCAGTGCTCTAGGAGTCTCCCATAAAATATGTTTTCAAAATTGTCCATCTTACACCACAGCATAAATGCAACCACTGGTATTTTTCGGTGTGCGTTGTGTGCACGAACATGCCCTCATGAGCATCTGCATGTGCTTTTATTAAGCTTTGCACCTGCTTTCATCGCGTATCCTATGTCTTTCACACTTCTAGTCAAGTTTACTGTCATCCACATTGAAAAGCCAACTCTATGGAAATCCATTTCCTAAATGCATTAGCTAGCCCAAATGGTCTGGCATCTATTAATATTAAGCAAATGTAAGATGTGCCATCAAGTACATCTGAAAACTTGAAAAACAGCTCATTTGAATTCTTAACTGAATTGGATTTAACAAGTGAGATAAAGGTCATTTTTAATGTGTTGATCTCTACTTCAGATCTAAATTGCCATTTATGAGGTCATTAAAAACTGTAAATCCTTGGACATTCCTTTTTTAATCAATTCCAAAACATGAATATGTCTATCCGTTAACACAATTTAAGCTGCTGGACCCCTATCATATTAAATATCATATTCTTTAAAGTTAACCTTGTTACTATTCCCTAAACAATCAACAAAAGCTGGTTGCTTTTTAAGATGATGGGATACAGAACTTTAAAAAAAAAGTCAACAGAAGACAAGATAGTTCTTATGACCAAACCTGCTCCTCCTCCCTGCTTTGGGGGCACATGGTCCCTGAATCTGACCCCGACATGTTTTTTTAGGTGTGCAGTTACGCCTTTTCACGGCTGTATCAGCTGACAAATAAACCTAGCTGCTCTGATATTGTGTCTGTGGACATGCCCAACTGATCTCATTTTATTTCGCCTCCAGTATTTTTTAATGTAACAGGTAGCTAGGCTTCTTTTGTACCTAACACCACTGTGTTCTAGTTTATGATCAACTGTGGGAGCCAGGTATAGGTTTTCAATTTAATTGACGAGATCTGAGGGCAGAGGATCTTGAAGCCACCCTCGTTATTCATATATATAGATGGCATTCCTTTCTACACACACTGTACTGTGTGAGGTTATTTTTTCCACAATTATCGAATAACACTACATGATTTCAGCTTAAGGAACAAATTACTACTGAGACAACCAGATGGAGTGAACTGTATTCTTTCATCTGAAAGCAGTGTGAAGTTTTACAGTTAATTTATACCTTAAGGTGTGTCTCCCAGGTTGACTGACTACTGTGTGTTCTGACTGGTTTTAAAAAACTTTAACAATGTACACAGCTCTTTCCCATGGTAATCTTAAAAAAAAAAATAAATAAACAAAAAAGCCAAAAATGTTCTAGAGTCACCAGATACCTTGTTCAATTGAGTTTTTCAATCTGAGCAAATGATGTAAAACTGAACGAGTATGTAACCCCTATGTATGTCAGGGTAAAATAACTGTAAGTTCTGTCTGATTGTTCAGCATACAAGTGGGGCAACATAGCACTGCGTGACTTTTCTCCAGGACAATCTAGAGCAAAAATTCAACTTTGGGGTTGAGGCATGCCGTCAGAGCTCTGGCAACGTGCTGCTTGTCTCCTTCTCCATTGGCAAGATGCCAAAAGTTTTGTTCCCTTTTTTTTTGCATGGCCTACTCTTCAAAATCAGTTGAAACAGAGTAATTGTAAAATGACTCAAGTAGATCAATTTCCTGTAGATGCTTTTTTTCTTCTCACAGTATTTTCAGCATTCCTGTATAATATAAATTTTACCAGACATTGACCTAAAACTCCTCTTGAACAATGAAAAAAAAAGCAGAACAGTACAAAAGTAGATAAACAAAGAGTTGCCAATTGTATCACTTTCAATTTAACTGAAAAACTTGCTGGGCCACCAACCTAGGAGTTTTTTTTTTAAACAAAAAGTGTTAAAGAAAGAGAACTTCTCCGTTGTTGCAAAAATGAGGGTAGAGAATACCCCTCCTTAATCACCAAGAATTAAAACAGCTCAATCACCAAATAGAAGATATATTCAGGCCAATCACCAATCACCAAGAATTCCTGAATCACGCTTCATGCAGAATATTGGGCTCAAATAACGACTCACACTGGAAAACTAAGGTCAATCACACGGAATGCAAAAGGTATTCCATACCCTCAAAATGCCTGACTCTTTATTGATTTTTGGGGGTGGGGAGGGGGTAGGATGGAAAGAGGTAACTGCATAAATATCAAAACCTGAAAGTATATGCAACAAAATGCGTACCAAATGAACTTCCCTTCACCTTAAATTCCTGCACAAGCATGCTGTACATACATATATCAAACAGAAATCATTCCTGAAGTTTGTGCGTGAGCATCTGACAAGTTGAATCTGATACAAAATACCCACAATTAAGGTGCAGTATCAACACCTTCAAGATAAAGTTACTAACACAACTATCATTATTAAGTGAAGATTGTCACTGGATTTCCGTGGTATAGATTTTACAATCCTTTTCAACTTTGTCATGAAAATCAGTAATTTATCAGCTTGACTGTAAGAGTCTTGTGTAGCCTTTTGTGTGAGACAGCTTTTCTTTTTACTTTTTTATGCTATTCATGCCTTTTAAGGTTCTCAGGTATAAAGTCATAGTATTCACACTATTCAGATGTTCTGATGGTATCTTCCCACTCCACTTCAAGCAAACTGAATCCCCATATTTTATTTCACAATATTTTTTTCTGTATGATCTCAGTATTAAAAACACCTTTTTGTTCAGGTCACATCATGGCACGTTCACTGTGTACTTTCAAGGTATTTCATTTCTGCTTCATTTTGAAGTCTAGACATATTTTATTTATGAAATGTCACCTTGTGCCTGCTGGGAATTGAATTGAACCTGCATGCATTTATGCTGTAGAACCAATACTAAAATATGTGCACATGTTGTGGTTATAACTTGCAGGGGCGGATTTAGGTCGTCTTCTGGGTCTTCCAGAAGACAGTAAGATTTTCAAGTTGACACTGACAGATATCTATTTTTCTGTCAGAAGACGGTCAAAAGTGGAGCATGGATCAATAAAGATAATTTGGAAGCCTGTCAGAAAATATCTCTGGATCTGCCCCTGACTTAGAGACTTTCCAACTTACCTTGGCCCATTTTGGGTTCAAATCCCTGGCCTTGACAGCATCTTCTAGACCTTTCTGGAAATGCCCCATTTTGACGAAAGCGGCTGAACGATTACTGTACAGTATGTGGTTGATAGGGTCCAGATTGATGGCCTCAGTGTAAAGGCGAATCGCGCCCTGGAAATCGCCATTTGTGATGGCCTCGTTGCTCTGGCGTACCTTCTCCAGGAAGAGAATTTTGTTCCTATTGGCTTCCACCTCCTGAGAGTCCACCTGTAAATATCAACCATTATAATTATTTTAAACTTTCATTGATTTTCATATTACATATCGATTTTTATTCCTCTCATAACTCTCTCTCTCTTCCTCTCTCTTTCTGTACCACTCATATGCAAAACAGAGAGTGTATCTAATGTCAAAATCCCCCATCTTTCATGATAACCAAATCTCCTCTCTTTCAGCACATTTTGGTCTCCATCTTTTCAAATAATAATTTTATCAAGCACAGACACATTCATTATACATTAATTTTAATTCACTCTTACTGAACATATCCTAACTCCTAACACCATTGATTTAAATAAGCCAAACTAATGCTGTTGTCACCCCAAATCTGTAAAAACAAAAAAATGGCTACAACAAAACCCTTTTCATTACTAGTACTTGGTTACATCATATCTAAAACAGTCACCATAAACACAGACCCAACACAGCCTAAAACAAAACCTGCTCAAACAAATCACCCTTCACATTCATTAACTGCAATGCCCTGTTGCTATGATCTCCCGATCACAAATATAACCCACCTTTGTCCCTTTTCCATACTCGGCTTTGGTACAAAACTTACTCGAACCCCTCGAACATTTCCCTCCTATCACTACTTGACCCATTACCAACATGTGTGTGCTCTTCTACATACGAATCCACACTGCCTGGGAAAGGCAGCCACTTGTTAACTACTACCAGAGTTCAAAGTGATAGGTTGTCACTATTCATCATAGTCAAAGTCCTTATAATTAATGATTATGCATAAAAAAGTGGTCCTGTGTCTTTACCGTTTCACTATGCTGATGAATACTGTGGAGTTTCTATGTGCCTCGCATGGTTTTGCTTTAATTAAGACTTCGTGACTTTCTGCATGGTAAATCATCCGAAATTTCCGACCAGACTTGGGTTATTTATACTTATTCTGAATGAAAAGGCCAATGTAGCTTTTTTCTCCATTTGTCAACATTCTCAGGCTAAAACTGTGTGCCACTTTTTGTCCGGACATTTATATATTGGAGGTGACTCAACTACATTTTTGTCCAATTTTACTGTATAATGATCATCGATTCTGAGGTACTTTCCATTTAGCACTAGTTTTAACTGTTAATCAAAATATAAACAGAGCAAAATAAAAATGTCTCCAATATTTGACTGAGAAACAGTGATAAAACATATCATGGGGGTGTTCCTCTGAGTCTTCAACTGTCCACCTCTTGAAAATCTAAACTCATTACATACATTACATTAAAACAGTTCTGCTGAATAATAACTTCTTTTTGGAATTTTAAACACCTCCTCCATGTCTCCTTCCTCTTAAAATTACTAGCCTGTCATTTATCAATGCCTCAGTCCATTGCCTCTGAGTGAATTAAGGTCACAAGTGCATTGAAAGGAAGGAGAGGAGAGAACTGCCTAGTACTGTTACCACGCATTAAGAAAATTCCATTCAATCATGCATTTCAACTAAATCAATTGAAATTAATTTCCAGACAACCACGACAAAGGGTCCGATTGTGTTCAGGGAAATAAAGCCACATCCCTCGGGCATCAGTAGACCATGACAAGCCTGATTTCAATCTTTTGCACCAGTTCAAAGTTTCAATACTTCCAATGGGTTAAAGGTTTCTATCCCTCGGGATATAAGGAACGTAACTTATTTAGACCTTGTCCATTGAACTCCATCGAATACCTTATTTGTGCCTCGAGTCAAATGAAATTTCCAAAACAGGTGTGTTAATCAAGACGTGTGACCTGACTTGTCACTTATTGAGAACACCTTGGCCCAATGCTCAGAGAACAAGAAAGTATTAGAGCATGCAGAGAATGTATTCAAGTGTAGTAATTCACATCCAGTTCTCAGCTATAACAGAAATCCACTTTGCATCAATTTATTTGGTTGAAATAATACCTACTTATAAATTCAATATATATGAAGAAAAGGAAAATTATTTGCTAGGTTTAATAAATTTTATTATATAACTGGGCCTTAACGAGAGTCACCCTAAAAAGTTGTGATAAAGAGATAAAGGAGAAGAGCATGAACGGATTGCAAAATGCATTACAGTGTAACGTGGGCCTGGGTTGGTTAAAATGCTCCATGATAAGTTCTGGAAGAGAAATTCGTGCACGGCGACATGTGTAACTTTCAGTGTGGAAATTAAATATCTGACAAGTCATGGCATGTTGTGTACAAAAAAAGGCAATGACAATTCATGGGCAAAAAAAACTGAGATGGGAAAGATCGAAAGTAATTTAAGTTATATAAGGCCTTCTAACTGAAATTGTTGTGGTCTCAAGACGCAACTTTGTGAATGTAAATGCTGAATTAACAACTATAACTGTGACTTTATGGCCCGAACATGAAAATACTTGTACTGAGCACTGAAATGCCATGATCTCCAGTTTAAGTCCATAATTTTGTGTTTGTAATCAAAAACCTGCGGCTCGAGATCACAAACGGCAATAATCATTTATGAGGTGTGAGGTCTGTTTTGAGGAATAACCTCAAGCATTTTCCCATAAAAAAGATAAAATAAAATGAAGGTATTTAGAGTGATTCACTTAAATGTACTTTTCAAATGTAATTAGGAATGGAATGCAACTTATCACTTCCCATCTCATCCCCCGCAATAAAAAATGCCCATATTTTTTTTCCATTATTTACCCTCCCTCCCTCTCCCACTTTACCCTGGTGTCCCTTGCCTTCTCTGTGGCCAACACAGTCAACATTCAAAAAAGATCCACAATATGTACAACACCTGACAATTAACAGCTGGTCCAGCACCTTCATGTTGACCAAAAAGCTTGACCAAAGCCCTAAACCTTATGTTAACTCACCCCCACCACCACTGCACACAAACTGTAAAATAAGGTGCAGTCACACAGAGAAAAAATATAACAGTTCTATTTAATATCATGAGTTGACTGTAGCAACCATCCCAGTCACCAGCTCAGCAGGGGCCAACTTCTAATACAGGCGCAATTTTTTCCTAGTCCATTCCAACAGGTAACCTACCATTAGAAGGTCAACTGTCAAACTAAGCAATATTTAATCCATCAATAGTGTCATACACAGGACACTTCTTTTTGCCTGTCTGATCACACCCTCTCCTCTACTGGTAGGGTGGATTGTATGCATTCCAATCAACTTGATCACAATGTGTATACAATGTTATGGTAATAAGGCAATATGGATTGTTCAGGGATGTACTGGTTCTATTGCCTTGTGGATTACTGTGGTAAGTTAATACCAACCAGCAGAAAATAGGTACACAGACACGTTGTTCAGGGGGATATGTGCAAAATGAAATGTGGTAGACTTTTGTGATTGGATTTTAATTTTTTTTTCAGCGAGTAATTTCATGACCCATATCATGTTTGCAGGACGGGTATTGTATAGGCTTTTTTTTTTTTTTTAAATTTGCATGACACAGCTGTGTTTCATTATTGCATTTTTTCTTTTCTTTTATGTGGTCATGTTGGGATTAGGATGTTTGGAAGACACGCATAGCAAAGCAGGAGACATCTTTTGTGACTTAAATTCTATTTTTTCACTTTGCATGTATCAAGTTTCGAAGGGTGTCAACACATTTGAATTAGGACATAAGACAAATCTTTTCTTATAAATTCTTTTTTTTCTTTTTTTTTTTTTTTGGGGGGGGGGGGGACACGACAGCTCAAACCTGGAACTTCACACACCTACAAAGTTAGGAAGCCCTTGTTGGGTTGTTTTCAAAATACTTTTCACCTGTTGACAGTTATAACTTTAAGCATAGTTTAACTTGAATAGGCAAACCAAACTTGTTAAAATAAGAATCTCAAAAATGTGTCAAATTTCTTTGTCAGCTTTCCCTTTGATATGAAAAATAAGGCAGCAGCGACCCCTTTTTATTAAGTCTTGTGATTTATGTCTATTCACGAGGGTCACTTTACCAAACATATTGTATATATATACAAAAATCAAGATTCACATCTTTGGCTCAAGTAGTACAGAATGCAATATAAGAGATAATTTGTCATCTCAATTTTTACTTCAACCTCAATATTGAACAGAATTGTCAATTAACTTCAATAATAATTTGGTCTACTCTGATGCTGATCTTAGTTTTGTCATTTAATAAAGGTATCCCCTAACACAAATGACAGTCGAACATAAGGTCTATTAATGCTCTTACCTTATGCCTTCTTCTCATCAATCTCTCGACAATTGCCATCTTTAGCCCTTAACATAGCACCAAGCCCCAAATACACTGACTACCTTGGTGTTAGGTTTCAATGACCAGCTGGCCAACAGATTGACCACAGTGGTATACTTGTGTCCAGCTGTCCACAGGAATGTCATTCTTGCACCATATTTGTGTGCATTAAGAATTAAGTATTTATGATGAGTTAAAAGTTAATAGTTCTAGTAAGGCTTTATTTATTAATATCTGTGTAAACTGAAGTATCCCCTTTTCATGCTAGAAACTCAAGATATATATATATATATATATCTTTGGAAGAAAAATAACTTTGATTTCAAAACTTTAACAAGATTTTTCATCTGCTATATTTAACCACTGTAGTAAGCTGTTGGGTTAATTTTTCAAACAACACAGTTTTAAGAGACATTTTATATTTTAGAACTGGGTCATACAAGAGCAAGAAAACCCACATCACACAGCAGCTAGTTTAAGGTGAGTTATGTCCTAATGTTGGTGCATTCTTACAAGAAAGATGAGTCAACTCAATTAAGGCACCTGACTGGCCCAGTTACGCACCAAAAGAATGTCAATCTTGATCACACCAATGACTTAACAAGAATGTCTGACATCACAAAGGAAAGAAATCACTGATATTTGACTTGGAAGGCTTGGGTCCCTTGGCAAGCGTCACCCCACTGCTAACAAGACACCACTGTGCGTATAAAGAAATCAGAAAATAAAGATGACATACACAAAGGATTTACTTAGATCTTTTCCTTCTGCTTTTCCAACGTTTCCCACTAAAATTCTTAAATGTCATATGCATGGTAAGCCAGATGTAACCTCACACATAGCTAACAGTATATAGGTCTTTGCCTCTTTGTGTCTGTCCTATTTACTTTCCTGCCTGAACAAACCGTTGACAATACAGCAGGTTTAGCAAAAGAAATAAAAGTCCTAATTCGATCTGCTCTGCCCTTCTAAAGCTAGAATTGTATGCACAGAACAAACATTCTTGGGCGGCCATTCCGTCTCTTCGGTTGGATTGGAAGGTGGTGGCTTAGACAAACGGCATCTTTCTCCTCAATAAACAAGGCTATTTGACCATCGAGCCCACTTGGCCTTCCATCTTTATTTACAATATTTGTAAGGATAGATACATAAGAACTCGGAATGCAACTCTGTGAGTTTTCTCACTTCTGTTCCATTTCTGCAATTAATTATGCCGATGGTTTTGTCTCGAGATTTGTGCTGAAGTATGAAGTGCTTTAAGTATGTTAAATCAACATGCCTTATCTAGATTTTACAAACATTTGTCAACTGACAGAAAAAGTGTCCTTATTAAGTACTTGGTGAACTCAGTCCACGTCTGCCTCACATTCCCCTATCTCAATTCAAAATTTCAAAACAAAGAAATTCCTTCATTTTCCCCCAATTTTAAAGACATGCCTCCCAAATGACTTTTTCACTAGAAGAATAAAATAAAATAATTGACATTAGTGTCAAGCATGTCTCATTCATGACATTCAACTAAAAATCAAGTCTGTCATACCCGAGGCTCGACAAAGGTCAATTATCACAGAAAACCATCACTTCTTAATGAATTCAAAAAGATGAAACGATGCACCTCTCATGCAGGTCACACAGGTATGAACCCATCATTCGTAACATCTTGAACTCGAGTAAGTACAGTGGAGAAAGATAAGTCATCGTTGTATTATGCACTTGGCTACAGATAGTAAATCCTACGT